TTACTTTTTTTCATCATTCATCTAAGCACAGGAAGGGTCTGTGATTTCATCAGTGTGAGGAACTCTCAATACAGGAACTTCCTCCATCAAGACATATCACAACTTGGCTATGACTTAATAGATAAGCTTTTGTTCAGTTGTTTCACTCATGTCTGACTCTTCCTGACCCCATTTGGGGTTTTCTTGGCAAAGGTCCCAGAGTGGTTTGCCATTTCCTTCTCTAGCTCATTTTACAGATGAGGAAACTGAGGTAAACAGGGTGACGTGACTTGCCCAGGGTCACACAGCTAGTGTCTGAAGCTGCATTTGAACTCAGGGCTTAACAAGGCCAGCCTAACTCCAGATGTTCTAGCCACTGCATGATCTAGCTGACTCAGCAGATAAGTACTAGGGAATTAATTGGTCTAGGCACACAGAGATTAAGTGACTTGCCCAGGAACACACAGCATCAGTGGCAGGATATGAAACCAGGTGCTCCTGTCTCCAATACCAACATTCTATCCCTTAGCTACCCTGTATCTATTTTCTCCAATTGACACAATTTATTTAATCTTCCATAAACAATCACAAATCCAATTGCACGTTGACTCTATACAGACATACACATACAAGTACACACACAGTAAGGGAGGGTCATGAAAAAGTCAAGTCAATAAGCATTTATTAAGCTCATACCATATATCAGGCATTGTGCCAAACCCAAAAAGCAGTCCATCCTTTCACGGAGCTCACAGTCCTGTGGTGAAGACAACATACAAACAACTATGTCGGGGCAGCTAGGTGGCACAGTGGTTAGAGCAATGGCCCTGGATTCAGGAGGACCTGAGTTCAAATCCGGCCTTAGACACTTGACACTTACTAGCTGTGTGACCCTCGGCAAGTCACCTAACCCCATTGCCTAGCCAAAAAAAAAAAAGAGATGGATGATATGAAGTTGGTGGTCAGCAAGAGAAGAGGTCAAGAGAGGATAAGGCTAGATAAACAAGATTATCATCCGCATGGAGATGAGGAGTGAATCCATGGGAGCTGAGGACATCATCGAGCAAAGCAGTCTAGAAGGAGAAGAGAAAAGGGCTCAGGGCAGAGCCTTGGGGGACAACTATGGACAAAGATCCAGCAAAGGAGGCTGAGAAGGAGCAGTCAGGCAGGTGGATGGAGTACTGGGAGACAGCAGCATCAGAAAAACTTAGAGAGAGAAGAGGCTGCAGAGAGGTAAAGGGGAATGGAGATTGAGAAAAGGCCACTGGGCTTGGCAATGAAGAGATCACTGGTACCTTTGGAGAGAACGGTGTCAGCTGAATGATGAGGACAGAAGCCAGACACCATAGAATAGAAAGAAAATACATAGTGTCCTAGAATTAGCTCCCTGTTACCCAGCCACAGTGAGAGGTGAGAAAAATAGCAGTTAGGTTCTTTGTATTTACTCCACGTGAAAAATGTTGCCAAGCATCATCTATAAATATATGCAGAAAATGAAATTTCAATTTCATTTCTCATTAAAATTTCATTAAATTTCAATTTCATTAAAAATGAAATTTCCACAAAACCACACTGTATACTAATACTCTTGTTGAAAGATTTAAGGTACATTAAAGGATTCTCCCAAAGGAGAAAACCTGTCTTCTTTTTTTTTTTAAAAGACCATTTTATTAACAATTTACCATTACAACCAAGTAAACCTGCTTGGTCAGTATGCACTGAATTATTATTGTTATTTATTATTATTATTATTATTATTATTATGCTTTTTTTTTGGTGAGGCAATTGGGGTTAAGTGATTTGCCCAGTGTCACACAGCCAGGAAGTATCCAGTGTCTGAGGCTGGATTTGAACTCAGGTCCTCCTGACTCCAGGGCTGGTGCTCTATCCACTGTGCCACCTAGCCACCTCTGAATTATTTTCAACATGTAAAGTATCATAACAAGATCAGAGACTAGCACACAGTAAGTACTTAATAAAAGATCTATCCACATATATATATATATATATATATAGATAGATAGATAGATAGATAGATATACATACACACACATACACACACACACATACACACACACACACATATTTTAATCATCATCTGTCAATCAGCTCTCTTTATCTGCTTCTCTCATCTGCCTATCTCTAACATCATCTATCTAGCTGGCTAGCTATCAGTTGTTTGTCTGGACTTGGTGACCTCTCAGGTCTTTCCCAAATCTAAATCTATGATCTTATGATTCTATTGCTTACCAATTAAACAGCCCAATCTGATACACAGAGGTAAACTGGACGTGTCTTGCTAAAAGGAACCATAGAGAATGAAGTAATATCAGTACTAAACATGTATATACCAAATGGTGTAGCATCCAAATGCTTAAAGGAAAAGTTAAATGGGTTACAGAAGGAAATAGCCAGTAAAACTATACTAGTGGGGAACCTCAACCTTCCCTTCTCAGAGCTAGATAAATCTAACCATAAAATAAATAAGAAAAAAAGCCAAGGAGAGGAATAGAATCTTAAAAAAGAAAAGAAATGGAGAATCAAGTATTAAGTGTCTACTATGTGCTTTACAAACATTCTCATTTGATCCTCACAACAACCCTGGCAGTTAAGTGCTATTAGCATCCACATTTACAAGGTCACAAAACTACGAAGTTTTTGAGGCTGGATTTGAACTCAGGTCTTTCTGATTCTAAGCCCAGCACTCTATTCACTCTGGTGCCACTGAGCTGCCTCTTTGCAAAATTAAGTAGTCCATAAACATTTATTTTTATTATTTTTGTAAACATACTTCTTGTTTCCCCCATAACGATGTAAATAAGCTTCCTTCAAGCAGAAGTCACCTTATTCTTTATGTTAGCACCCCCGGAGTCTAACACAGAGCCCAGCACATAGCAGGGTCTTCATCAATGCTTGCTGACCGACATAATATTCTATCACATGAATGTACCACAATGTATTTAACCATCCTCAAATGTTGCATGTTTAAGTTGTTTCCAGTTGTTTTTTAAATTATATATAATGCTGATTTGAAAATCTCTGAACAGATCTCTTTTGTTGACTTGTTTTGGTAACTTTGGGGGTACATTCCAACAATGGAATTACATGTCAAAGCGTATGTATGATTATTTGTCTCTCTTACTGTATATTGACAGTATTCTCTAAAAGGACGGGAAAAAAAATCTTTCTAGAATTAAAGCTATCTATATTCATATGAAAAAATGCTCTAAATCACTATTGATTAGAGAAATGCAAATCAAAACAACTCTGAGGTACCACATCACACCTAATAGATTGGCTAACACGACAAAACAGGAAAATGATAAGTGTTGGAGATGTGGGAAAATTGGAACACTAATGGTGGAGTTGTGAACTCATCCAACCATTCTGGAGAGCAAATTGGAACTATACCCAGAGTGCTACAAAAATGTGCATACCCTTTGACTCAGCTATAGCACTTCTAGGGCTATATCCCAAAGAGATCATCAAAATGGGAAAAGGACCCTCATGTACAAAAATATTTATAGCAGCTCTTTCTGTGGTGGCAAAGAATTGGAAATTAAGGGGATGCCCATCAATTGGGGAATGGCTGAATAAGTTGTGGTATATGAATGTAATGGAATACTGTTGTGCTATAAGAAATGGTGAACAGGCTGACTTCAGAATAACCTGGAAAGACTTGTATGGACTGATGTGAAGTGAACAGAATCAGAGAACATTGTACACAGCTAACAGCCACATTGTGTGATGACTAACTTTGATAGACTTAACACTTCTCAGCAATGCAAGGATCTAAGATAATTCCAAAAGTCTCAAGATGGAAAATGCTATCCGCATCCAGAGAAATAACTGTGGAGTTTGAATGCGGATCAAAGCATACTTTTTGCTCTTTTTTTCCTTCTGTTTTATTTCTTCTGGTTCCTCCTATTGGATCTAATTCTTCTTTACAACATGACTAATGTGAAAATTTTAAAAACTCTTTCTTGAATATGAATTGAAAATGCTGCCTGCAAGAGTTTATATGAAAATAGCCTAATGAAGAGGAGAAAGAGCCCTGGCTCTGGATTCTGGGTTTGAATCCCAGCTCTGCTCCCTCCTATGTGCCTGCTCTAGAGCAAGTCCTCCCACTCTCTGGGCTTCGGTTCCCTCACCTGTAAATACGAAAGACTCAGCTACAATCCCCCAAAGCCCTCTGAGCTTTCCATTCTATGATTGAAAGGTGGAAAGAGATTTCTTCTGTATTAACATTGCTAGCCAGCTATTTAGAGTAGGAAGAGATTAGTCCAAAACCACTCACCAGCATCTATTTCCTCTCCATCTGTCCCTCCAAAGTTGGCTTTGCTAATGAGGAGAACTTGTGGGATGACCTCAGAGAGTGACTTCTCTTTCACAGCTAGGAGACAGGTGTGAAAATCAGTTGTCTGAGACCCCAGGAGGAGTTAGGCCTATAAGCCACTAACTTTGAATTTAGGTGGGCTTGTCTGTTTGCTGTTAATGTGGAGGGAAGGACTCTGCCTAGGGGTGTCTTTCCCCTAAATCAGACGGGGCATGTGATCATCCTGTCACCAAACCAAGAAGGAAAAGATACAGACCCGAGTCTGTCAGAAACCTTGGAAGGAAGAGTGAGGAAATGACTGGTCTGAGAAAGCACAGTTCGTAAACTGGGCTGGGGCCCAAATCTCTGGAGTTCCTAGTAGAAGAGCAACCCATGAGGGCCGGTTTTCCCCTTTCACGGGATTTTTCATAAGGTCAAAGAACTCCTGCCAGCAGAACTGGAGACCAGACCGTGACCACCCTGAGATCTGTGAGCCAAAAACAAAGGAAAGTGGATGGAGTAGGTCCTTTCAGAAAAGGGAGAAAGCCATTCCCAACCCGCCACCTTTCTTCCCTTTACCAAGATGGCATCAGGACAACACAGTAACCCAGCATAAGCAAGCAGAAGGCTCCAAACACAGCCCCCTCTCTGCTATTTTCTGGGTATGTTGTTTAGCCCGAGAAACTAGAAAACAGACAAAAGAATATGTGTTTGGGGTCTGGAACAGTTAGCTACACAACATTTTATTAATTCAAAAATAAAAATAATAATAATTTAAATCCACACCACTCAAACTCTCCTTTCTCAGTGTTCCAACAGAGGCACTGGAATATCTTGCTTGGGCATTCCAGGCTTTCTTGTGTGCTGAAATTATTAGTGAGCTATTCAGAACAGGAATGAGATTAGCCCCCAGACTCCTGCCAGCATCTGGCTTCTCTCCATTCATCCCTTCCAAGTTGGCTTTGCTAAAGAGTAGAGCTCGTGGGATGGCGGCTGCTGCCGTGGTCCATTCTTCGGCCCCCACACCACCCAGAGCAGCGGGAGCAGGAAGCGTCTGGCAGGGGCAGAAGCCATCTCAGTCATCAATGTCCATTTCGGTTACCGCCTGTTTACTGGATTTTTTGTTTCCTCCCTCTGCCTTCTTTTTCTTCTTATCTTTTTGTTCCTGGTTGACTCGAGAAATCTCTTCACTCTTCTCTGTGATGTAATTTAGCTAAAACCAAAATTTAGGGATAATATTTTAAGACTGCTTCTCATCAGACCAAAAAGACAAGAATTCTGTACAAGGGGTAATAAATGATTATTGATTTAATGACTGATTGTGTCCCCAAAGCACTGATGTAGATGTCCAAGACAGGTTCCCCTCTCTAAAAGATTCAATATGGTTCAAAACCAGGGAGGGTTCCTACTCTTGTTGGTGTTCTAGACCTATCTGTCAACAGGCTAGTGAAGCCCATGGACCCCTTCTCAGAATAACATTCTTAAATGCATAACACACATGGGAGTTACAAAAGAAACTTATTCTTTTGAAATACAGTTAGTCAAAACTTTTTTTAAACCAAATTCATAGAGCTCCTAGGCTGAAACCCCTACTCTGAAAGCTTTCTGGGCACATGAATCAGGACAGGCAGGGAGACAGGGGGTCTAACAGCAGACAGGGAGTCTCACTCAAGGTCATGAGGTGTTGGGTTCGAGTCTCCCACCTCTGACACACATTCTAGGCGTGTGACCCCACTGCAAAGTCACTCCATTACTGAGTGCCCAAGATAACAGTAAAGGACTGACAACAGCCATTCCAAATACAAGCTGCAGGACGGTTTGCTGATCTGCCACCAAAAAAGGAAAGAAAGCAAAAGGGGCTGGTGAGGAACAAGGCCACTGGTCCCAGGAGTCAGAAAGCCTGACAGGTAAAGGCCTTCCCTAGGTGACACTAGCATCCCTGTCCAGATTACGCATTAAACTTCAGCCACATGGGCGCCCCTGCCACCTCCCTCCTCTGTGGGAAAGCCTGGGCCCAGGCTGCACTGCATGTGTGGAGTGCGCTATCCTCCCCTCCGACCCTCAGAATGCTTAGCTCCCTTCAAGGCTCCACAGAGGTGCCACTTCCTGGGGAAAGCCCCTCTCCTCCCTGCTCAAATCACCTTGTTCACACTTCTCTTTGTAAATGAGCTTTGTAAAAGCTCCTGAAGGACGGGGCACTTTTTCCTTTGGTCTCTGTATCCCTAGTACCTTGTACACATTAGGTGTGTAGTAAGTGCTTGTAGGACTGGATAAGAATTGTGCCTGTCAGTAAGAAGCTGTAGGTCTGGGGGCCTCAGTTTCCTTAGGGCAACAGGGGGGTTGTACTGGGATGCCATCAAAGGGCCCTCCTGACTTCCGATGAGAACACAGAAAACTTTCTTTCCATGATCCCAAGCTGAAAGAAAATGGTCAAATAGGGCAAATTCTGGGATCCATCCCTGACCTGGACCTTCAGTCATTTTCTGGTCACCATAACAATGCTATTCTAATCCAATCTCAGCCCCAAATGTCATGGTGATGCTACACGGGCTACAAAGGTCCAAAGTTTAGAAGCAGGAAAAAAGGAAAGGGAGGTGTGCAGCTCACTGACCCCAGAGAACGCTGATGACGGCCGCAAATGCTGGGTGGGCAGAGCCAGCAAAATGAAAAAAAGCTCACAGGTGACAGGCGAGTCCTCGAGGCCCAACGAGCTCGGCTTTTAATGCAAGGTGCCCTGGGGAAGAACTTCCTTGCTTCAGGTGATTAACAGGAATAACTATTCTGATAGGAAAGGGGAGGAGGGAAAGAAATTCATCTCTCACCAATGAGCCACTCCTCCTGGCTAAGAGCTTCACGTCCTCCATGTTAACTGTGCTTCTTTTCGCATGTCTGGGGAAAGGGCAGAAACGATTCACCAAGTTTGCCATTATTTCAAGGGCTGCAAGTTCACAGACTCCACCATACAGACTCGCAGCTAGCCAAGGCCCGGCAGTCAGCAGCCTTTGTGCACAGGGGTGCCCAGGGGAATGCCAAGAGGAGGACAGTGAGACTCAAAGACTGCTGTCCAAATGTGCTCCCCGGCCTGCTGAGATCCAGGGGAGAGGAGGCTATGAGGATGGCCGAGAAGCCCGGCTGCCTGAGCTCCAACACCGGGCTGACCGTCAGCGGTGCAGGTGCCCTTCCAGAAGCTGGGCACAAACACCAGGAAAGGGCCGGTGGGAAGGTGGGAATACACAGTTTGGGGAGAGACAACAGTCTGCCACAGCTTGGCCCTCCATCACAGCACCTCCTTCAGCCGTTACTCACTGCACACGGACCGTGGGCCAGGCTAATTCCAGGCCGGGCATCAAGGAGGCGGCTAAAGAAGCAGATACAGTCTCTGCCCTCTGGCAGCTTATGGTCTAGATAAGAAACAAGGCCTACAAACAAGAACGGGGTGCTAACAACAACTCAGGTGTGCAGAGCACCTTCCAGAAACCCCCCACAGCACAGGCTTCCTCCCCAAAGTCGGTGTGCCTTCCCAGCATCCTACAGCGAATGTTGGCTGAGCACGCACACACACATACACACACACACACCACACACACACACACACACACACACACTTCAGCAAACCAAGGGACTCATTATTCAAATGCTCCTTGTCCTTTCCCACCTTGGCACTTTTGCCCACACCTTCCCTCCATGTCTATCACTATGTTACAAAAGGCACTTCTCCAGGTCCCTGACCCCCCAAGACTTCTGAAGCAGGGATTCCAGAAATAGGGAAGGCGGCTCTTATCTACGTTCACTGGGACTGCTGGAGCTGGGGGTGGGGGCCTGGGCAACAGCCTGTGAGCAGATTTCTTTACCTTAGTGGACCTTCTCATCTCTCCCTCTTTCCCTGCCTGCTTACAAGGGACAGAGATGCCCTTTTATGCAACCACGAAACAAAAGGGGCCTTTAACCCGAGCCAGAACATAACCGGTTCACTACGATGATGCCTGATCCACCCTCTTTTATTTTTCCGTTTAGCCATAAAGTGTTGCTATTTAGAATTTTTTCTTTCTTTCATCATCTGGTCAGCCGGTGGCTGGGCCAGCTGCTCCTCACATTTCCTCATTCCTTCTGAGACGTCAAACCGACCTCCACAAAGCACGCCATCCCGCTCCCTTTTCTCTGTCTCTCATCATCTTTGGGCCACCCCTGCCCACAGGGCGCACCATCGGGGACTCCTGATGGGTCACCGCCTCCTGCCCCTCCCACTGGCTACCTCCTTCCACATTCCCAGGCTAGAAGAGAGCAGTCAAGCAGAACAAGGTCTAGGATCCACCACATGCCAGACCCTTGGTGGGTTTTTGGCCGCCATAACAATGCTACCCCAATCCAGTAGATTAGGGGCAGCTAGTGGATAGAATGCCAGGCTCTCGCAAATTCAGTCTCAGACACTTCCTTCCTTGCTACGTGACTCTGAGCAAGTCCCTTCACCTCTGTTTGCCTCAGTTTCCTTATCTGTAAAATGGGGATCATAACGGCACCTGCCTCCCAGGGCTGCTGTGTGGATGAAATGAGAAAATAATTGCACAGTGCTTAGCACAGGGCCTGGCACACTGTAGCTGCCACACAAATGCTTAGCCTCCTTTCTTTCCCCATCCTCCACTTGAACCTTCCCACGACACTGCTCTGATCAAGACACCAAAAAGTACTCCAAACCCTTCCATGGCTCCCTATTGCCTCCTCAACAAAAAACACCAGTCTTGGCATTCGAGGCCTGCCACCTGGTTCCATCCCACCTCTCACAGCTTTCTTGTATTATTCTACATAAAGACAACTGTGTGCCCCATTCTAACTGTCCTCATACCCCGGCCCCTCATCTGGCATGGCTTCCTCCCCTTTCTCCGCCCACTTTCTATCTGCTTTCCCACCATACCCCAAGACCCCTGCGGCCTGGCCATCTGGCTTGCAGCTGAAACCTCCCATACACCGTCTTCCCCTATTAGAAAGTGAACCCCTGAGAACAGGGAGCATCTTAACTTCCTCAGCTGGTCAATAAACACTTATGAAGCACCTACTATGTGCCAGGTACTGCAAAGAAAGGCAACAGACGGGCCTCGTCCTCAAGGGGAGACAGTGGGTTGCCAGCCATGGAAGGACAAGTGAGAGACAACCTACAGAGAGAGGCCCAAAGGCCTTCTACTTGTATCTCTGGTGTCCCAGCAAGGTCATGCACCCACTCACTCAAGGCCTCACTCAGGGGCTACCTTCTAGGAAGCGTTTTCTGACTCCTGGCCCAACTCAAGTCATTTCCCCCAGCCCTTTCCCTCCCTCCCTTTTGTGGGTCTCTCCCTCCCTTCTCTGTTTCTCTTCCTCCACTCTTTCTCTGTCTCTCCTTTTCTTCTCTCTCTCTCTCTCTCTCCCTCTCCCTCCTCTGTCTCTTTGTCTCCCCTTTTCTTCTCTCTTCTCTGTCTCTCTCCCTCTCCCTCTGTCTCTCTTTCTGTCTCCCCCTCTCTTCTCTTTCTTCCTCTTCTGTCTCTCTTCTCTCTCTCCTTCTCCCTTCTCTGTCTCTCTCTCTCCCTCCTCTCTTTCTCTGTCTCTCTTTCTGTATCTCTCTCTTCCTCTGCTTTCTCTGTCTCCCCCTCTCTTCTCTCTCTCCCTCTCCATCTCTTTCTCTGTCTCCCCCTCTCTTCTCTCTCTCCCTCTGTCTCTCTTTCTGTCTCCCCCTCTCTTCTGTTTCTCTCCCTCTCCTTCTCTGTCTCCCCATTTCTTCTCTCTGTCTTTCTCCCTCTCCCTCTGTCTCTCTTCCTCTGTCTCCCCCTCTCTTCTCTGTCTCTCCCCCTCTCCATCTCTCTTTCTGTCTCCCCTCTCTTCTCTCTCTCCCTCTGTCTCTCTTTCTCTGTCTCCCCTCTCTTCTGTTTCTCTCCCTCTCCTTCTCTGTCTCCCCATTTCTTCTGTCTTTCTCCCTCTCCCTCTGTCTTTCTGTCTCCCCCTCTCTTCTCTCTCTCCCTCTCCCTCCTGTCTGTTTCCCCTTTTCTTCTCTCTTCTCTGTCTCTCTCTCCTTCTCTCTTTCTCTATCTCCCCCTCTCTTCTCTGTCTCTCTCCCTCTCCCTCTGTCTCTATTTCTCTGTCTCCCCCTCTTCTGTCTCTCTCCCTCTCCCTCTGTCTCTCTTTCTGTGTCTCCCCCTCTCTTCTCTGTCTCTTTCCCTCTCCCTCCTCTGTCTCTCTTTCTGTCTCCCCTTTTCTTCTCTCTCTCTGTCTCTCTCCCTCCCCTCCCCTTCCTCCTCTCTTTCTTTCTCCAGTCTACAATATTGCAAGGCCTCTTTCCTGGGCTTTACCCTCTTCTTCACCATCATTTTTTGTGCTCCCACTTTCCCTCCCTCTCAGAACAGGGGCTCTGCCCTTTTTCTCTTTGTGTTCCTGGCTGTCCCCTGCACATAGTAGGTTTGGTGAATGAACTCATGGCCAAGCTGGAAGCTGCTGGGCATTTCCGAGAGGGCAAATGAACATAGGAACGGGAGGTGTTTGAAGTCTGCCCTCTGGGAACCCAGTACTTTAATTCATTCAAAACATTCCTAACTGAGACAAAGAGGTAAGAGGAGGGTGCTGGGGAGGGAGAGGTTGGCATCGAATCAGGAACGACGGCAAATGAGAAAGCTTGAGCCCTTTCAGGCCTCAGTCATCTGAATTGCTTCATAAAAGCAATTCATGGCAATTGTTTTCAATTACCTAAGGTACTAATTGAAGAGACGAGCATAAATCACCTGTAAAAGCTCCAGCGGTTCCAGATGAAAGCAGGGCCCTCACTTTGCGAGGGTTGCTTTTTACTCTTAACAAATGGGGCAAATGAAAGCCTTTGACTAGCGCAGGCATCAGCCCTCCTTACCCCCACACCTGCAGGCAATTACACCCCACGTATACTTGGGAGGGCTCCTCCACGTCCTGCCTCATTTCCTTTTGTGTCTTTCTTTCTCTCTCCCCACCTACAAGGTTTCAAAGTGCTTGAAACCCTCATGCCGAGAACGGTGGGGGGAAAGCAGGAATGGAGAGCCCCTGTGCACACGGCATAGCGGCCCCTCAGCCTCACACCCTCCACTGAATCTGCAATCAGTTCACTTCTGTTCTGTGACAGACACTTGTACAACTTCATGAAAACGTCGCCAAAAGCGAGGCTGAATCCACCTGATGGAAAGCAGACACTAATTACGGGGCTTCACAGATGGAGACACTAAGCCCCGAAAGCTGAAGTGCGGAAGGCCCCCTCGAAACCCAGCCAGCAACGGCAGGCGCCAGCCAGCTGCAGAATCACAAACAGGCAGACCAAAAATCCACAAAAACCAAAAAGGATGAGACTTCCCCAAAACCCATCTCTTACACCTACCTGGCAAACATCTCAAGGTCCTTGGCGAAATGTTCTGAAGGAGAGAGGAGAGGTACTTTAGTCACATCAGCCTCAACCTCTGTCTCTAAGTCGGCCGTCACTCACTCCGTGACTAATAGGGCAGCCGTCTCAAAGGCTAAGAAGGTGCGCTCATCACTTCTCTCATCGCCCTTATTCACTGCGGCCCCATCTCTTCCAGCACCCTTTACCCCTGCAAATCTTCCATTAATTCGGTACCTTTGGTTTCTAATAATTAAACAAAACCATTCTTTAACTTCAGAACTGACCCCAAAGATGGAGCTTTGCTTGACTCCAAATCAGAGCACCCCCAGCAAGTACCAGAGTAGGGCCAGTCAATGACTGAGTCAGCTGAAAAACCAAGCTGCACAAAGCCCTGAACTTAATCACCATCTTCATGAGGGGCCCTGGTTCTTGGGAGCCATTATTTGCCTCCCCACCTCCTCTTAGCTGGGAGGTGTAGGACTCTGACACACCCTTCCAGACAAGGTCACTATGTCTACTGGATCTAGTCAGGGGTGGGCAGGTCTATTTAAAAAATTATGTTATAAAAATAAAAGGCCTCAATAAGACTAATATTTAAGGGGCAGGGCAGCCTCAAAAGCTGGAAGACCTGGATTCAAGTCCTACCTCAGACACATACTGACGGTGAGACCCTGGGCAAGTCACTTAACCTCTTAGTGCCTGCTGGCTGAAGGAGTCTGCTCACTGGTGTTCCTTGCACCAGTGAAATCACAGGTTCAGTAAAGAAGGAATGAGAAGGAAGGTCATGGGGGTGGGGTGAGGATGGCAGTGAGAATCATTAGGGAAGTCAAACTTCTAGCCCAAACACTGCCTTTAGAGATGAGGAATGATGAGTAAAAATAAGGCAGCCCTCCTGGGCTGAGAGGTGGGGGACTAGGGAGGCAGGAAGGGGGAGATGCTCCATCACGTGCCACCACTTAGCTGGCTCTCTTTGTTTCAAGAAAGGGGTGGGGCTGCGGGGTGGACAACAGAGATGTAGAAACAAAGGGCTTCCATGACATTTATTTTTAAAAAGAAACACAAAAACAAGGGAACCTTCCTTGCCGGGCTGCCGTCAGAAATCAGGGAGAGCACCAAGATGGAAAAAAAAAAGGCGACAGAGAAAGCTTGTTTTCAAAAGGCAATGCCAAAGCAAAGGTCAGCGGGGAGTGGGCCACCTACCACACTGCTGAAAGGTGACCTCGGATATGGCCGCGATGGCCGGCTTGGTGAACCGGACGCCTTGGGCATCAGCAGCTTCCTGGCACATGGAGCCCACCGTGTAGTGGAGGGTCGCCTTCAGGTTCTGAAACACAAGACACAATTCCAGGGGGATTCAACTCAGCCGGACCCAAAGGGTTTGTACAGTTCTTGCCCTCAAAGAGCTTACACTCTACTGTGGTGAAACAGACACACAGGCATGTGAATGCCAAATCTAGGCCGACTGATTCATCAACGAGCACTTGTTAAGCTCCTACTGCATGCCAGGCGCTGAGGTGGGCGCTGGGGATTCGAATTTACAAAGAACGAAATGATGGCTGCCTGCAAGGAGCACGCACGCACTGCCCCAGGGAGACCATGTGAGCACAGGGACGTGTATGCAGACACCATTAGCACGATCACTGTGAGGTGCTCGGCGAGGAGGGGTGCTTAGCCGGGGTGGGAGGTGGGGGGCGCTTTGTGCGGAAGGGGCTGCTCCTGCTGGGATGGCTCTGGAGCAGAAGAGGGGCGTGCTCTGACCTTCCTCTGGGATGTGTCAGAGGTGACAAGGGCCCCCACCAGACTGGGCCACGCCAGTAGAGAGGGGCTGTGCAAGCAGGACAGAGAGCTAGGGGTGAAGAGGGAGGGCAGAGAGCTCAGGAGCGCTCCAAGGTCCCCAAAGGGATGGACACGAGGGCCTTTCCTGCTGGGCTGAAAACCAGCAGAAATGTGTGCTTCTTCAGCACTTTCATCAGACTTGGGGGCTCTGATCCCCTACCACAGCACTGGTTACCTGGGGGCTGAGTCTTGTGGCCGAGATGACTGAGGTGAGCAGAGACACGCTTCTAGCCATTGAGAAGCCGGCAGAGAGGACAGGCCTGTCCTCCATGATGACAGGCATCTGGGGCCAGCTCTGCCCACAAGAACCCAACCAGCCCAGGTGATGGAAGACGAGGCCAGAAGGGGGCCTGGGACCAACGTTACAGATGGAGAAACAGAGACCCAGGGGTGACGTGAATGCCTAGGGTGGGGGGTGTGGCTCACAAGAAGCAGGGTCCAACAACAGAGCAGCAGATAGAACAGCGGGCCTAGAGTCAGCAAGACCTGAGATCCATCCTTCCTACCTCAGCTTCCAAGATAAGCTTTGGAAACATAAACCATATATTTGGATTCAAAAAATAGACTTCACAAGTATAAGAGAGGGGAGGTACGGATGATAATAGCATTTCTACAGTGCTTTAAGGTTTGCAAAGAAGAGCTTCATAAACATTACCCCATCTCATCTTCACAACAATCCTGGGCGGGAAGGGGGTTGGGTTGCTATTGCTATCCCTATTTTATAGATGACGAAACTGAAGCAGCCAGAGGTCAAGTGAGTTGCCCAAGTGCTAGTAAGTGTCTGAGACCAGGTTTGGACTCAGGTCCTAACTCCAGGCCCAGGCCTCTGACCACTGCACCCACTGTAAGTCAGCAGTATAATTACGGCCAGAAGAGCTAATGAAATCTTAGTGGCCTTTTGAACACCAAAGGAGCTATAGCTCTGCTATTGACATGAAGAGGCCTCGTATCCATAACTAGAAAAGCGCCAACACGCCACTGTCCTCTGGCCTGGTCACAACACGTCTGGGCTCCCAGGTCAGTCCTTGGAGACCCACATTAGGGTGAAGGTAGACAGGCTGCAGAGCGCCTAGTGAGCAGACTGAGGGGGGTCAGCCAAAGGAGCTGGGGACGTTTATCCTGAAGAAAGAAGATGCATGGGTGGACGTGGTCACTGTCTTCAAGGGTCTGCGGAGCTGACCTGTGGAAGCCACATTAGAGTTTTCTGTTTGGCCCCAGAGGGCAGGACAAGAAGCACCGGGAAAAGGTGGTGAGGAGTGGGCTGTCCCCCCGAGGACCACCCCACAGGCACACTGCTGCTCGAGCCAGCCTAGACTCACTTGGGTGGCCTCTGATGTCGCTGGAAATGGGGCTCAGACCCCCCCACCCTCACAGTAACCAGGGCTTGCTCTGACGGAGCCTCCCAGGCACCACTAACACTGGGCAGGAGAAGACCCCTGCCTGGCAAAGGTTCTTGGGGATCCCCAAGTCAGAAAGACTGGCATGGTTAAAAACGCCTGCGTAACTTCTGCGACAAGGCAGACCAAGGCAGAAACAGAAGGGATGTGTTCATCTTGGGGCAGCCAAGTGGCTAGAGGTGACACCTGGAGTCAGGAAGACCTGCCCAGGAATGAGTCCAAACCCAGTCCTGTGGCCCTGGGCCCTCTTACCTCTGTTTGCCTCCTCTGCAAAATGGAGATAAAAAAGGTGCTTACCCAATCACCTCTGGGATCAAATTGGGGGGGAGGCAGCCTTAGAGCAACTTTAAGCTACATAAAGCTATTAAAACTTTTTTGTTTTTTTAATTTAATTTAATTTTTGTGTTCCAAATTCTCTCTCTTCCTCCACCCTCTCCCCCACTCATTGAGAAGCCAAGAAATACGACACCCTTTGTACATGTGAAGTCATGCAAAACGTTTCTACCTTAAAATTAACTAAAGCCTAAAGTTATACCGAGCCAGCTGGGATGCCAATGTAAAGTCCTCTGGTTTTTAAAGTTCGTTGTGACCTGCCCTCTCCTACCTTTCCTGTGCACACACCCAGTCCACCTCCCAGCCACAACTCCACCCTCTGCAGGGAGCCTTTCCTGATCCCCCTCACGGGTAGAGCCCTCCTTCTCTTCACTGCCTCCAATGTCCCCCATCTCTCACCTGTCTGGACACATGGCAGGCCCTCAATAAATGCTTGTTGACTTCATTTCCTTCCTAGGTTGTTTTGAGGATAAAATGAGATACTGTTTGTGAACCTTAAAGCGCAATTGCCTGAATATACTGCAGCCACCGAGGCAGCGCTCAGCCTGGCAGAAGTGTGGCGTCGGGGGCTACCCAGAGAGCTTCTGGACCTCTCTCTTGGCCAAAATCAAAAAGAACTAGTAATCTCTCCACATGCCTTGATGATAATCTCATCTTTCAGGAGGTGGAAGAGCCAACAATGGGAAGTTCTCTGCTGGGCCTCACTTTTACCGGTGGGGAGGAAATGACGGAAACCTTGGAGGGAGGGGACGGGTCCCTCTCACAGTCTGTGAGGCAGGGAGAGCAGGGAGGGGTCTCTTCTTTCTTGTGCTTTCAAGGCACTGAATGAGAAGGCTCCAACACAAGGGACACAGAGGAAATGCCCCGCTCCGCAGGGAGCCGAGACCTCATCCAAGGGAGGTCCAGAATCTGGGAATAGAACGAACAAGAGCCTGGATGGAGACGTTCAGACGCAGATCCCGAAAGGAGGCTGGAAGTGGAGAACAAGCCTACAGCTGGTCTAGGGCCCATCCAGGCTTCCCTAAAGCCAACAGTGACATCGGTGCTCTGGAGGAGAGAGTGGAGCTGACCCTGACTCGTGGGGGCGGAGGCTGGGAGGCTCAGGTTTGTGCCCACAGTGATGTCGGGGAGCCCAGGAGACCCCAAAAGACTTAACACCATGTCACCTGCTCTGCCTTCTCTAGAAACAGGAAGAACCCTGTGTTCGAAGCTTGGTAGGCTAGATCTGAACATCAGGGGCCCAACTATTAAAGACATAAGTCAGTGAGGAAATCCCAGCTTGGACACCTGACTTCTAAGGCCCCGCCCAGCGCTGACATCCTGTGTTCTAAGGCCCCTCCCAGCTCTGACGTCCTGTGTGCTAAGGGCCCTCCCAGTGCTGACATCCTCTGTTCTAAGGCCCCTCCCAGCTCTGACCTTCTGTGTTCTAAGGCCCCTCCCAGCTCTGACATCCTGTGTTCTAAGGCCCCTCCCAGCGCTGACCTCCTCTGTTCTAAGGGCCCTCCCAGCGCTGACCTCCTCTGTTCTAAGGGCCCTCCCAGCTCTGACATCCTGTGTTCTAAGGCCCTTCCCAGCTCTGACACTCTGTTCTACGTACTGTCTTTGGGGGGCAGCTTTCCTTTGCTCTGTGGGGTTCTGGTTGGAATGGCCTCTGAAAGAACCAGGTACATCTAGCCTGAAGATTATGGAGGCAGACCAGACGTTGCTGGAAGGATGTCACAGGGAAGGGGGAAGGGAAGGGAAGGGGGACCGTCTATTCTCACAGCTCCCCAGGGCAAAACTAAGAGTGCAGGTGAAGGTGCAGAGAGGCACGATTTTGCGCTTCTGAAGGTGGAAGGGGATGTCCAGGCGGTGCCCCAGCACCTCGGCACAGAAAGGTAAGGCTGGCTGAATTGAACTGAGTCCAGCCTCCCATAATTCTTGATCAGGGGGAAAGCCAGGACCTTAACCCTGGAAAGAACCCGGAAAGGCGTGTCCCCAGGAAATCCTGCAAAGGAGGAGGGCTATTTCCGTATTCTAGGCCCCGGGGGACGTGGGGGGGCATCCCCAGCCACTGAGTCCCGCCCCTCAGCTCACCGGCCCCATCCGCCCCTCTCTCTGCCTTGAAGTCTCAGGTGAAGCAACACTCTGCAGAACCGTCACCAAAGTGGCTTTTATCACTGCCTCTCTCCCAATTGCAAACACTCCCCTTCTCTTTCTCAGGAATCACAGGACCTGGGTTCAGATCCTGCCTCTACCTATATGCCCTTGGGCAAGTAAGGTAATCTCCCAAGACCTCAGTTTCCTCATCTGTCAAACGAGAGAGTGGGACGGCCTGTGGTCTCCGAGGCCCCTTCCAGCTCCCAATTTCAGGTTCCGCGAGGCCTCATTGGTGCCTAACCTGTGCATGCAGGAGCAGGTAGGGCCACCCCCTCACCCCCCCCCCCCCCGACTATGAGCCCCTCAGGGAAGATGCCGGCTTACGCTTCCGTGTCAGTTGCAGGGCCCTGGCCACAGCGCAGCCGGAGGCTCTGGAGCGGGAAGGGAACGTAGAGGGGGCTCACCCAACGTCTTTATGTTACAGATAAGGAACCTGAGGCCCAGGGAGGGCAAGTGACCAAAGAGACACGGCAGGGCGTGGATCTGAACCCAGGTCCTGACTCCAGATCCCCAGCTGTTCAGGTCGGGAATGGCCTTTAATCTTTCATTAAAATGGCTCAAAATGAATCAATCATACAGCTGCCTTTCAGGGATGCAGGCAGATGGAAGAAGACGAGGGCACGGTTAATCCAGAAATCCCAGGATAATCCAAAAATGCTTCCTAGGAAGAGTTCAGGGGCAGCACGAGGTGGGCGCCTTGCCACGTTGTGCATCATTAATTAAATCATTCCTCGATAAAAGTCTAGAATGTGCACGTAGAAAATAGGAGGTGGGAGGGCCCTTAAAGCAGACATGAGCTCGGAGGGGCGTAGGGCACTGAATGTCAGGACTAGGCGGGGCCTAGAACGCCGCCACAAAGGCCTCACAGCCGTGACATCAGCCCCAGGACAGGCCCCCCGGGACCCATAGAGAGAGGGCCCCGGGCAAAAGGACGGGGGCCGCCGGGCTCCAGGGCCCCCCCCCCCCCGTACCTGGATAAGCGTGAGCTGCTGCTGATCCTCCTCCTCTTCCTCCTCCTCTTCCTCCCGCTGCCCCGGCTCCATGGCGGCCACAGCTGCGCGCGCCCACACACGGGGAAACTTTTTTTTCCCGCCTTGAAAACTCCTCTGTACGAGATGCGGAAAAGGACAGAAAGGGCCGAAACGCGAAGCGCTTCCTCTGCCGGGCAGTGCCCTCTAGCGGCGGCTCGGGAGGGGAAGGTGGCAGAGGCCCCTGCATGACAACAGTAACTGACCATAACTACTGAGCGTTAAGTGGGACTCGCTCTAGGAAAACGCGATGTAGATGAATGCTGGGGATATACTGATAAATTAATAAGTATTAATAAGCGAAATTATAAGGACAGGGGCTGGACCTTCTGTTTCATTGGTATTCATTGATAATAACATAATATAAAGAACCCAGGGAGTATAGGGCACTCCTAGTTAAGGAATTCCTTCTACCCATGCAAATCTCGAGGCTTTGGCTCAGTTCTGTTATCCTCCTCGTCTCTGCAGCCTTTGACACTGTCGATCACTCTCTCCTGCTTGACACACTCTCTAGGTTCTAGGTTTCCAGGACACCGCTCTCTCCTGGTTCTCCTCCTCCCCATCTGACTGCTCCTTCTCAGTCTCCTTTTCCAGGTCATCCCCAGTAACAACCTCGGGTATCCCCTGAGGTTTGTATAGCGTCCTTCTTTCTTCTCCTTTGTGTTATTTCATTGGCTCATCTCATCATCTCTCACGGATTCAATGATTATCTCTATGTAGGAAATGAGCATTTGTATAATGCCTTTGATGTGCCAGGCACTGTGCTAAGCACTTCACAAATATTACCTCATTTGAGCCTCACATATATTTATCCAGCCCTAATCTCTCCACTGATGTCCAGTCTCACATCTTCAAATGCCTATTGGACATCTTGAATTCGATATCCCATAGACATCTTAATCAAAATGTCCAAAAATGAAGAGTTGTTTCAGTCACATCCAATTCTTCATGACTCCATTTGGGGTTTTCTTGGCAAAGAGACTGGAGTGGTTTGTTATTTCCTTTTCCAGCTCATTTTTTTTAAATAAAAAATTTTATTAATTTATTTTGATTTATCAACAATCACTTCCATATGCTTTTGAGTTGAAAATTTTTCTCCCCCTTCCTCCTCCCCACCCTCCCCAAGATAGCACACAATCTGATATAGGCTTTACATTTACATTCCCATTAAACATATTTTCACATTAGTGAAGTTGTAAGTAAAAATTAAAACCAATAAGAGGAACCATCAGAAAGATGAAACAAAACTCAACAGAAGGTAAAAATAAGTGATAGCGATTCAACTTCCATAGTTCTTTCTTTGGATGTGGACAGCATTTTCCATCCCGATGCCTCTGGAGATGTCTTAGATCCTTGTAATGCTGAGAAGGGTTCAGTTTAACAATATTAGTCATTGCATAACGTGGCTGTTACTTTGTACAAAGTCCTCTTGGTTCTACTCATTTCGCTCAGCATCAGACCATACAAGTCTTTCCAGGTTTTTCTGAATTCAGCCTGTTCATCATTTCTTACAGCACAATAGTATTCCATTACATTCATATGCCACAACTTGCTCAGCCATTCCCCAATGATGGGTATCCTCTCAATTTCTAATTCTTTGCCACCACAAAAAGAGCTGCTATGAATATTTTTGTACATATGGGTCCTTTTCGCATTTGTATGATCTCTTTGGGATATAGCCCTAGAAGTGCTATTGCTGGATCAAAGGGTATGCCCTCCAGCTCATTTTACAGATGAGGAAACTGAGGTGAACAGGCTTAAATGACTTGCCCAGGGTCATACAGTCTGAAGCTGGATTTGAAGTCAAGTCCTCCTGACTATAAACCTGGCTTTCTATCCAAAGTCATCATCTTTCCCCCAAGACCTCCTTCTTCCTAATTTCACTATTGTGGTAGTATCCAAGGCACCCCCATTCTCTTAGTCACCCAGGTTCACAACCTAGGTATCATCCTCTACTCACTCTCACCTCCCATATCCAATCAGTTGCCAAGTCCTATTTACTCCACTTCCACATTTTTCAAACATGCCCCCTTCTCTCCTCTGATGCTGCCACCACCCTGGTGCAGGCTCCCATTCCTCATGCCTGGACTATTACAAATCTTCTGCTGACAGTTCCCCTTACCCCAGATCTCTCCCTCCTCCATTTCATCCTCCACTCAGCTGGCAGGTCAATTAATCTTCCTAAAGGGGAGGTCTGACCATGTCATTTCCCTACTCAGTAAACTCCAGAATTTCCTTATTACCTCCAGGACAAAATATAAAAATTGTCTGTTGGCTTTTATTTTATGGTAATATTTATATATTTTTTTTATTCCCAACCTGCTCCCTTTCCTTCCTTCTCCATTCATTTCATTGGTCCTTCCTGTTCCTCTCAAAAGCTGTTCATCTTTTTGTTCTATGCCTTTTCACTGGCTGTGCTCCACACCTGGAACAACCACCCTCCTCATCTCAGCTTCCCTGACTTCCTTCAAACAAAGCTGAACCCCTCTCTTCTCCAAGAATCTTTCCTATTTCCCCTTAATGCTGGTGCTTTTCTCCTATTGGTTATCCTAATTGATCCTGTCTCTGTCTTGTTAGTATCTAGTTGTTTGCACGTGGTCTCTCCAACTAGACTGTGAGCTCCTTGAGGGCAGGGATTGGTTTTTGCCTTTCTTTGGCTCTGGCCCACAGTAAGCACTTAATAAAAGCTTCTTGTTGATGGTGGAGTTTGTCGATTATTTTTCCTTTTTCTGTGTTGCAAGGGATGGTTCACTGGGTAGTAGATAAAAAAAAGGATATATCTGGAAATGAAGATAGTGATGTAAAAGCAAAGAGAAATGTATGGTTTTTTTTTAAAGATCAGCATTTTCCAAAGTCCTGTCAATTTAATCAAAAGGTCTTTAAACTGGAAAGTAAGGGGTTGGGGAACACTGTCTATAAATGTTATGAATGGATGAATGAATGAATGAATGAATGAATGAAGCCTTACCAAGGCAATTCAAATAGAAAAGTGGAGACAATCCTGTTCTCCAGGATCTCACATTCTAATGGGGAAGTCAACGCTTATAGGAGGATTCACCTGAAGGTCAGATGGATAAGTACCCCTTGGTCCTTAGGGGTTTCTAAATACTACTGAGAGTAGGGATGCTATAGGAAGAATAGCTATAGAGACTCCCAGAAGTTCATCGGTGATAAAGACCTTGGAGATGGCAATCAAACCCATGGCTCATGTGATGATATGGAAAACACACTAGCTCCTCCTCCTCCTCCTCCTCCTCCTCCTCCTCTGCTGTGACATTGGGCCCCAAGCAAACAAATGAACACAGCCACAGAGGCCCACAGCCGCTGCCATGTTCCCCACAATCATCAACCAGGCCAAGACGCACCAGAGCTTGATCCCCCTGTTTGTGTTCATTGGAGCAAGGTGGAGTGGGATGGGGGCCACCAGGGCAACTCTGTATATCCTGCGCCTGGCGCTGTTCAAGATTGATGTCAGTTGGGACAGAAAGAATAACTCAGAGCCTTGGAACAGAATGAATCCCACTGATGGGTACAAGTCCTACTCAGTGAATGTGGATTATAACAAACTGAAGAAAGAAGGGCCAGAATTTGAAGTGAAAATTTTGCTTTTTCAGCTGCTGAGAATGAAGGTTTTCCACAAGCCATCTGCACAATTTTACATACAATTAGGAAATGCTTGATTTTTCCCTCATGTTGCATGCAATCATGTTGAGTTTAACAGATGAATAAAGATGTGAAACTTGAAAAAAAAACACATGAAAAATGGGTAACAATCAAGGAGAATTAGTGATCCGAATGAAAGGGACAAATTTGATTTCACTGGTATCTTTGAGATATGATAAGGTAGGACCTATGGCTGGAGTATGGCCCTGGTAGGGTATATATACCTGATTTGTAAGAGAAAAAGGACACTGACCCAGCAATAGCACTTCTAGGGCTGTATCCCAAAGAGATCATACAAATGGGAAAAGGACCCACATGTACAAAAATATTTATAGCAGCTCTTTCTATGGTGGCAAAGAATTGGAAATTGAGAGGATGCCCATCCATTGGGGAATGGCTGAGCAAGTTGTGGTATGTGAATGTAATGGAATACTATTGTGCTGTAAGAAATGTGAGCAGGCGGACAGCAGAAAAAACTGGAAAGACTTGTATGGACTGATGCTGAGTGAAGTGAGCAGAACCATGAGAACATTGTACATAGTAATAGCCACATTGTTCGATGACAAATTTTGATAGACCTAGCTCTTCTCAGCAATACAAGGATCTAAGACATCTCCAAAAGACTCATGATGGAAAATGCTATCCACACCCAAAGAAAGAACTATGGAGTTTGAATGCAGATTAAAGCATGCTATTTGCTCTGTTTTTTTCTTCTGTTTTGTTTTGCTTCCTCTTGTGGTTTTTCCCATTGGTTCTAATTCTTTCTTACATGACTAATGTGAAAATATGTTTGATACGAATATGTATATAGATATAGATGATATAGATATAGATATAGATATACACACACATATATAGGCTATATCAGATTGCTTGCTGTCTTGGGGGGGAGAAAAATTTAAAACTTGAAAGCTTATGGAAGTGATTGTTGATAAATCAAAATAAGTTAATAAAAATTAAAAAAACTCAAAAGCTTATGGAAATGATTATTGATAAATCAAAATAAATTAATTAAAAAAGGAAGAAAGAAAAAAAAGAAATGATGAGCAGGCAGGCTTCACCCTTTAGCTGGTTCTAGGTCAAAGTTCCAGGGCAGAAAGGAGTGATCATGGTCACCAGGGAGCAGAGCCACTACCTGGGTAAGGACTGAACAATCCTCAAGACAGTAGAGTCAAGAGCTGATTTGTAGTATTTGCCTCTTTCTGAGCTGTAAATGCTCACACTGAAAACTCAACAATCAGCTCTCACAAGGGTGAGCTGGTCCCACCAAAGACACCAGTGAAGGGGATAAAGGGAGTAGAGTTTGAGAAGCAGAGAATGCCTGGGAGAGAGAATTGCGGTTTACCCAATTCCAAGAAAGCAGAACAGAATATCACAGAAGTGATATTAATATGAGACTGTAAGACAGACCACATAGGAAAAAAAAAAAGCATAAGCCAACCTCCCACAGAGGCTGGACAGTCATGGGGGACTTCAATTACCCAGAAATCAGTTGGAGATCTTGCTCTACCAAAATCACAGCCACTAACTAATCACTTCTCACCTTGTCTTTGTGATGATTTCATCCTTCAAAGGTTGGAGAACCTTCTTCAAAGACACTCCCCTTCCAAAGGGAACCTGATTGTCACCAGCCAGGACAAAATGGTGGTCATAGTAGGGAACCATTTCATCTCAAACTTTTGTGATCAATCAATAAGCATTTATTAAGCACCTACTGTGTGGCAGGCATTGGAGATACAAATAAAAAGTATGAAATGATCCCTACTCTCAAGGAGGGAGACACACACACACACACACACACACACACAAATGTGAATATAAAGAGAATGATTATGAGCATACACAAAGTTGTTAAAGACAAGGTAGCTTGGGAAGGAAGGTACTAGGGCCGGGAAGATCAGGAAAGGAAAACTTCACACTCATGGTGGTGCCCGGCCTGGATTTTGAAGGAAGAGAAGGATTCTGGGAGGTTGCGGGGGAGGGAACACATTCCAGGCATGGGGATAACTAAAGTCTTGGAGACTGACGAAGGAATACTGAGGGCTCAGAGAGAAGGCCAGTTTGGCTGGATCACAGGGTGTGGGATGAGACCGGAAAGAGAGATTGGGGGCAGGGTGTGAAGGGCTTCCAAAGTTGAGATGTGTCTAGTAAGAGGCGATAGGGACCCACTGGTGTTTATTGAGAAGGGGAGTAATGTGGTTAGATCCTGGGGCTCTGTGCCCAGGCAGTGCAAGGGTGGGAAGCCAAGCTTGGAGTCTGAAAGAGCTAGCCTCTGACACTTACTGGCTCTTAACCTCCCAATGCCTCCCAAGGAACTCCCTAAGACTATTAGCACTAGTAGTATGATCTGCCTCAGTGAAGAGAATGCCCACACTGGAAGCGCCTATAGCAAACAAATAACAGGTCCTCTCCTTCCTTGGGTCAGTCTTACCTACTGATAATATTCAAAAGGTAAAGGGATAAGACTGGGGTAGTATTGAAAAATGAAATATTTGGGTAGAAGTGGAATGGGCTGCTGGGGAAGATGGTGGGTTCCCCATCCCTGGAGGTCTTCAAGCAGAGGCTGCATGACCATTGGTTGGGTGGGTAGTACAAGAGATGCCTGTTTGAGTCCAGGCTGGCTGGGATGAACGCCGAGGTCCCTTCCAGCTCTCCCACCTTTTGGAATCCGATCTCTCTCTCTCTCTCTCTCTCTCTGTCTCTCCCCGTCTCCGTCTGTCTCTGTCTCTGCCTCTCTTTCTCCCTATTTTTTTAATTTTAAAAAATTTTTAATTTTTTATTAATTCATTTTGAATTATCAACAATCACTTCCATAAACTTTTGAGTTTTAAATTTTTCTACCCCTCCTTCCCCACCTTCCTCCCCAAGACGGCTCACAATCTAATATAGGCTACACATAGGCTATTAAACATATTTTCATATTAGTGCTATTGTAGGTAAGTATTAGAACCAATAGGAGGAACCGCCAGAATCTCTCTTCTCTGTCTCTCTCTCTCTCCCCTGTCTCTGTCTCTTTCTCATCTCTGTGCAAATTTTGAGCCATCTCCCCTCCAAATGTTCACGTGGACTATTTGTGCCCGACCTGTGCTAGAGCCTTCCGAGCTCGTAACGTTCTGATCAGCCACAGTTGGACACGTTGTCCCTTGACCCTGACAGCGATGTCATTTTGGTCCTCTTCTAGCACGGACAACAACCCACTTTCTGGGACTGAGGGAGAAGCATGGCGTCTGAGTTCTTAGCCCAGTTGTAGAACTGGCCACTAGGGGTCACCATCACACCGTGCAATAACGAGCCTTCACATCCTGCACCTAGCTCAGAGACGGAAGAAACCAGAGGCAGCTGGTCCAACCGGTCGGTCCTTGAGCAAGAATTCTTCGTCATCTCCACCACCACCACCTTCCTCCTCCTCCTCCTCCTCACAATGACACTAATAGCTAATATTTATCCAGCACTTCAAAATTTGCAAAGTCTTTTCAATTTATTCTCTTATTTGAACTACAATGTCCTTGACAAGGGGTCATCCAGTCTCTGTTTGAAGACTTCCAGTGACAGGGAGCTCATTACCTTTTCCCCTCTGGACAACTTTAGTCATTAGGAAGCTTTTCTTGACATGAAACCTTTCTAGTGCAGCAGGGTGGTGCAGTGGATAGAGCAGCAGGCCTGGAGTCAGAAAGATCTAAGTTCAAGAGAGGCTGGAGAAGGAAATGGCAAAACCGCTCTCATATCTGCTAAGAAAACTGTTGGCCACTGTGGGTCAGAGGGAAGATTCGAACCTGGGTCTTCCTGACTCTGATGACTGCTCTCCACCCCTGCTGCCCTCTCTTTGAGAAGTTCCTTATCTGGAGGCCACTGAGAGGCTCTCCCTGGCCTGGGCTGAGCAGGGCACCCAAGATCAGCCAGAACTAAGGCCTTGTCTTTAGTAAACAGGACACTGGGGCAACCACTTTAGGAAGTGGTAACGCTTTTTCTTCCCTTCCAGGGAAAGCAGTGCCGTGCAATGCTGAACCTGCACTCAGAGCAGGGCTCTGTGGCTTACTCCCTGTGCACCTGGAACACAGCAGGTGCTCAATGAATGCTTTGCTGACTGACTGCACAAGCCACTTTCTTTCCCTACAAGAGGAATTACATGGATTACATGGCCTCTGAGGCCCCTTTGACATCTAAATTTACGATCTTAGGGTCACACAGTCCACTGTAGAAACGCCCCATGAAGGATCAGGGCAGCAATTTTGTCTGCAACTTAGTTTTAGAGGCTTGACGTGCCCAGGGTCATACAGCCACTAAGTGTTGAGAGGCAGGATTGAACCCAGGTGTTTCTTTTTTTTATTGATTTATTTATTTAAGTGTTCTTTTCTTTTTAAATTTTGAGTTCCAAATTCTCTCCTCCCCTCTGACCTCTTCCCTCACCCACTGAGAAGGCAAGCAATTTATCAATTATGGGCAGCTAGGTGGCACAGAGGGCAGAGACCCTGGAGTTAGGAGGACCTGAGTTCAAATCCGCCTTTAGACATTTATTAGCTGTGTGACCCTGGGCAAATCACTTTACCTTGTTTGCTTCAATTTTCTCATCTGTAAAATGAGCTGGAGAAGGAAATGGCAAACCACTCTAGTGTCTTTGCCAAGAAAACCCCAAATGGGATCACAGACGGATATGAGAAAAACAATAAATGTCAATCATACATATGAAATCATGCAAAACATATGACACAGGTCTTCCTGATCCAAGGCTGACTCTCTGAGCAGATGGACCAGCCCCAGGAGCAAGAGAGACACAGGCTCAAAGGAGCAGAGCCAGAAGGCACCTCCGAGGCCACTTAGGCTGCGGCTGAACCCACGGCAGGCCTAGTGTCTGGAGATTCCAGCCTCCTCCTATCATTTCAGCACACTGCCACCCCCACCCCCACCAGTCTCTCTAGAGCAAAGGTCAGGACATGGGACACCAGCGCAGACTCGTTGAGACACATCTCAGGGGCCTTTCTAGCCCCTGCTAGGGCTGACTCCTCTCAGGATGGCTGAGAGAGGCTGGCTTGCCAAAGCCTCCCACAATGGCCAATCTCCTCTCAGCATGGGGTCCCAGCTGAATGGGGGATGGGCTTTGAAACAGGTCAAGGAGGAGATGGCCAAAATCAGGGGTGAGGGCAGGAACTGATGGACATCTTAAGTCCAATCTTGGAAAAGCTCAGTCACTGTGATGTATTTTCTTAAAGGGGAAAAAAACCCAAACAAATTAAAAGAAAATTGGGTCAAATGTAAGAAAAACTGACTACCAATCAGGGATTCTGAGCCATGACCCACATCCCAGGCTAGGGAACCACCAATGTCTGGGTGGGAGTAACAAGGGACTCCCGTGACCTTCCCCAGGAAGACCCGGAGGGGACAAGGAAAAAGCAGGCAGATCCCGACATGGGTCAAACTTCTGGAGTTGGAGGACCCCAGTTCCAGTCCTGCCTCATCATGTTACCTGTGTGACTTTGGGCAAATTACTTATCTCTCTGGTCCTGTCTGCTCCTCTGTAAGGAGGGGTGGCTGGCCTGGCAGGGCCCTTCCAGCCCCAGATCTGGCATTCTCTGAGCCTGACACAAGGGATGCTCCAGCACAAGGGGGCACCAGGGCACCACACACAGCAGCTTGGAATCCATCCCCGGCCAGGGCTGGACAGCTTGAGGAGCATGGATCCGGTGTGTGGAGGATTCTTCTTCCCCAATTCCATGGGTTGGCCTAGATGGCAGCTGAGCTTCTAGAACCTGGTGGTCCTGAGATGACAGTATTTAAGAGGCTGGAGACAAAACTATAAATATAATGGAGTTTTTATTAAAAGGTAAAAGAAGGGTCATTCCCCTGTGTAAGACAGACAAGGATTCCAGTTTGGTCAGAGCCTTTCCCAACCACGACGGATGTGTTGCTACCCTCCAGGAGCCTGTTTCCCGCCTTTATGGACCCTGCTCCCGGGGCAGAGCCGCTGTTCCCATGATCAGTTTCTAGACAGCTCTAAGAAGCAAGGGCAGAGGGCAGGAGAGGGGTCGCCGCAGTCGCCGTACGGACTCTACAACAATGATTTTCAGAGCTCTGGGCAGAAGCAAATGCAGTGCAAGCTGAGGAGGGTGGCAGGAATGTCCTCGGTCTCTGGAATTCCGACAGCAGACAGAGTCTGGTCAGGCATTGTAGGACGAGGAGGACACGTTGCCCCCATGGCCCGTCCAGTTGGTGTGGATGAAGTGTCCTGGTTTGGCTAAGAGTTCATAGGTGTGAGCCCCGAAGTAATCCCTCTGAGCCTGGAAAACAAGAAGATGTTGTACATGTGGATATGCAGTCACACTTCGGACACCAATTCCATGCCTTGTGCCGCTGGCCCGGCCAGGCTGATGCCTGACGCACACCCCAAGCACATACCTGGATCAGGTTGGCAGGCAGCATCTCATGTCTGTACCCATCGTAGAAGGACAGTGCGGTGGTGAAGCAGGGCATGGGGATGCCAGCCTGCACGCCAGTGCTGATCGCCCGCCGCCAGGAGTCCTGGACATGAAAAACCAAGCAGAGGCTTGATCAGAAAAAAAATAAATAAAAGAAATCTGGTTCGTGCTAAACTGCAGCTGCTCCCCTGGCTGAGGACATCAGAAAATGAGAGCCCTGACCACGCGCCGCTGGGCACAGTTAACACGCGGCTTCTTGCTGGTACACACACCTGGCAGTTCTGCACGGCGGTCTTAAAGAAATCATCCAGGAGAAGGTTCTGGAGCTGGGGGTTCCGGTCAAAGGCATCTTTTATCTTCCCCAGGAAGACGCTGAGAAAACAAGGGATAAGGCAGCAGGTAAACCAGCACCTAGGGAGGTGCAAAGTCCCATTTCCCACCTCTCTAGAGCATGGAAAAGTGAATCACTTCCAAGTGTCAAGTTCAGGGCCACACCCATGTTCGGCTGTGCCCCGTTCTCAGCTGCCATCAACCAGTGGAGGCCGGCAGTGAGACTGTCCATTCAAGCAGTCCATGCTCAAATATGAAAAAAGCAAACATTACAATTCATTTGTAACAATTTTAAAAAAACTTTTATGATTTGGGGAAAAACCCAGTTTCTCAGAAGAGCCCCAGGGCTCTGTGGTTGCTGCCAAGGCCTAAGCTTGGCGAGCAGATGGGCAGGATTGGCAGAAACACTGTGGAGGGGCTGGGCTGGACATGTGGGCTTCAAGGAGGATGCCTCGGAGCCCCCACCTGCAGCCTATGAGCTAACTCCAACTCCAGCACTGCTAACACCCTAAACGCCTCTGCTGGTGGGAGAGCTGATCCACCGTTTGTGTGGCCAACCTGTGGTGAAGCCAGGGAACCGTTCTCACCTGCGGATGATGCAGCCTCCCCTCCACATGAGGGCAATCCCACCATAATTGAGCGTCCAGCCGAACTCCTTGGCTGCCTGATGCAGAAGCATGAATCCTTGGGTGTAAGAGATGATCTTGGAGGCGTAGAGGGCCTGGGGAGGAACACAAAGACTCAGGCCGGGCTCTAAAAGCAGAAGGCCCCTGGGGAGATTCTAGGATTTCTGTGACACCTGATTTCAGAAACTGAGCAGAGGGGCAGAGAACCCCAGTAGTACCAGTGGGACCAGCTCCTAAGATCAGAGACGTTGGAAAGGACCTTACAGATGGTGTACTCTGACCCCCTCATTTTACAGATGATGAAACCGAGGCCCAGAGAAGACAATCCACTCACCAAAGTTCCTACTGGCAGCACTGCACCCAGATGACCTCTTAAATTCCTCCTGGATCTACTATTCTCTAATTCCACAGTGGGCAGCCTTGTCCTCAGGGGTCAGAATCCTGCCTCTCTCTGCTCCTTGCCCCACCATGGGCACGTCATCTCACTCTTGGGCCCTCAGTCTCCTCATCTCTAAGGGCCCTCCATTCCAGTCTCAGTCAGCACAGCAGCCTTTCTGAGACAGGCAGAGGGCAGGAGAATCATAACCACAACGCAAGGAGCCGCTGACGGAGCAGCACAGCCTGTGCAATCTGACCCCTGCATCTTCAGCACATTTCCTGCGCCATCCTCACTGCCTGGATGGGATAAAGAAGCACTTATCCCTCCTCACACCCACCTTTCGAATGTCCTCCAGGAACAACTTCTTGTCACCCCCAAACTTAGTCTTCGGGGGGCCTACCAACTTCTTGCTGGCTTGGATCCGCTCGTCCTTCAGAGACGAAAGACATCGTGCAAAGACGGCTTCTCCTAGAGCAAAGCAAGGGAAAGATGGCGAATAGCCCAGAGGACAGCAGGGATGGGCACTGGCAGCAGGCAGGGGAGACTGCGGATGGCTGAGATCACTCTGTCTGCCATGGGTAAAGTAAACTCCAATTCCACTCTCCAGCCTAAGTACGGGTAATCGTCAGTGGAGAACAATGGAAAATTCCCAGGGCAATTATGCGAAAAGAAGACAAGCGGCAGGTGTAAACTCCTCATCACCTGTGCACCTGTGATTCCCCTGGCACAGAAGTCCCTCTGCCCATGCAGGCTGGCACCTTCTCTGAAACTCTTAGATCAGGGGGGTCTTCACCTGATTCATGTCACGGACCCCTCTCGCAGGTGAGTGAAGCCAATGGGCTTCTTCTCAACAGAATGTTTTTAAAAGCATCAGACGGGCAGCTCGGTGGCACAGTGGACAGAGCACTGGCCCTGGAGTCAGAAGTTCAAATCCGGCCTCAGACACATAACACTTATTAGCTGTGTGACTCTGGGCAAGTCACTCACCCCCAACTGCCTCACAAAAAAAAAAAGATACACAGAATTACAAAGCAAACTAATCATACTGGAATAGTTTTCAAGATATTAAAAAAAAAAACCCAAGTTCACAGACCCCAGCTTGGGAACCTGTCTCAGAAAATCAAATACAAAGCCCAGTGGCTTCATGGGGCTGATAACACTACTGGGTGTGGTCTGGACCAGATTAAAATGTAACTGGGAAATATTTAACAAAATACATGAAAATACAATAACATGTGGATAATATTACATTTTAAAGCTAAGCGAGTATGTGGCCCACAGGGAACCTTAGAATTGAATTAGTGGCGCCTGTTTCTGAATTTGGCATCCTTTGATTCCAAGGTTAAATGACTGATTCAAGGTCATACAGCTAGTATGTTGTGGCAGGACTTGAACCCAGGTCTACCTGACTCAAAGATGGGCTCACTGTCTACTACTCCGTGCTACCTCTCAAACTATCATTCAGCTTCAGTGTCCTGTGCTGGACTCTAAGCAACCCTTTGATTCAAAGAGTTTCGTGGAACAGTCACCATTCACTCCCAGCTCTTCTATGCCTCTGCTGGCACTTGGGGGAAATCAAGTGACTTCTGCTTCCTCATCTAGGAAATGGAGACACAGGACAGCCTCAAAATCCCTTCCAAGAATGAAATTCAATCTAATCCCATCCCTACTGTAACACACTGTCCTAGGCACTGAAGATACAAAGAAACAATAGAAAGCAGCAGCTGCCTGATAACTGGTGGAGGGAGAAAACCCTGACAATCTGGGGGACCATGAAAGGCTTAGAGCCGAACCTTGAAGAAGTCAAGGAGTTCTCATTTTTCCCCCTTTAAAAAAAATTATCATCATCTTTTTTTACATTGCCTAAATTTCCGGCTGTGTGCTTTTTCCTCCCAGACAGCCATACAATATAACAAATGCTTTTTTTTTTAAAAGAAAAAGAGAAAAAAGAAAGAAAAACCGATCAATCCATAAAAAAAGCTAATCATATATGCAATGTTCTATGGACATTACTCCCCACCCCCAAGCGCTGCAAAGGAGTAGGGGGAAGTGTCTTTTATTTCTTCACAAGGGAGATGGAGGGGAGGTGAAAGTGCATTTGTGGCATCTGAGAAAGCCTGGGCTAATTCACGGGGGCAGAGATGAAAGGTCGAGTTTGGGGACCAGCAAATGAGCTCTGGTCCACTCATTCATTCATTGAATAAACAGATAGTGAGCAAGTACTCTGGGGAAGACCCTTCAGCACCTGCCACGTTCAGCATCGAGAAGAGCCCCAGCCTAGTTCTCCAGATTCTGTCCCAGGGGACCCCACCAAGGACCCTAACACTGCCCAAGCAGGATGACTTGGCATTTGTGGGGAAAGATGTGTAAGGCACCTGGTGCAATGACACCCGAGGGGCCGACGCCCTGGTGTTACACAAGGGCCAGGGGGAAGCCTTCACTTCCTCATCTGCTCAGGGAGCAAAAGCAGCAGGGTGCCCGAGGCTGCACCCAAGCCTTTCTCATCCTCGCCCAATGACACTGCAAAAACGAGAAAACCTTCTAGAGCTGTCTCTGAGCACAGCGATGTTCTCGTGTGTCACATCAGGGACAGACACAGAGCTTCCCAGGAACCCTCTATAATCTCCCTGGGTTTGGCTGAAAAGCAGCCAGCTTCCTTCTGGGCAGGCTTGGTCTCTGGCCTCACAAGGAAACTGCAAACAGGGTGGGGTGTGATTCAACAGAGGGAGAGGAGAGGAGAAAAAACAAAGTCCAGCCTCTTGCTAGGAGAGGGAGAACTTTGCAGATGATCAGAGTTGAAAATAGACTTAATTCCTTAAATCTGAAAAGACTAACATCAGCCCTCAGAGGGGCAGCTGACAGATGGAGGTTCAGATCTTGCCTCTGATGATGACCGTGTATCCCTTCTCTCCACACAGAAAGCCACCATCCTCCTTCAGGTTCTCACCGCCTTTCACCCGGACTCTGAGCCTCCAGCTTGGCCCCAAACAGCTGCCAAAGCACAGGTCTCACCAGGTCCTTTTCTCCTTTATGTAAACATCAGTGGGCCCCCAATATCTCCAGGATCAAATGCAAAATCCTCAGTTTGGCAATATCCTTTCCTCCCCTGGTCCCTTCCCACCTTTGCACTCTCCTCTCCACACATGCCACCTCAGCCACCCCGGCCTCCCGGTAGGCCACTGCCACCTCCCACAGCCCACCCTCTGCATGTAAGGTCTGCCGTGCCAGGAATGTCCTGGCCCTCCTCTCTGGCTTCCTTCAGGACTCAGCTCAAAGCCCACCATCTATAAGAGGCTTTCCCCAGCCCCCTAGCTGCTAGTGCCTTCCCTTTTCAGATCACCTCTCATTTACCCGGAATACATTTTGTACATGGTGATTCACATGCTGTCTTTCCCATCAGAATGTAAGCCCCACGAGGGCAGGAAATGTTTCTGCCTTTTTGTGTACCCACAGAGCCTGGCACATAGAAGGCACTTAGTAAATGCTTGTGGACTATGTGGACATGGTTCTCACTTCCTCTCTGGCCCTCAGTTCCCCCATCTACACACCTGAAGTGTCTGAAGGGAGGGGGATGCATGGGAAAGGCCTTGAGATGCCTGAACCACTTGGTAAATGATAATGGCAAACATTGATTGTTAACCTTCACCAGTGGCACAGCTCCACAACTCCTGTTCCAATGCCTTCTGAGCTTCTAAATGCATTAGAAAGGCACTGATTTGGAGGTGGGGGCCTCTGGTCTCAGACACATCAGTTCCAAGCTAGCCAGGGTCTCGTGGGCTGCCTCTTCCCATGCCTTTATTTTACAAATATGGAAATTGAGGCCCAGCAAAGGGGAGTAAGCGCTCAAGGTCCCACAGGCAGGAAGGCCTGCAGCTCCTGGTCAGTGTTCTTCTCCCCAGATGACGCTGCCCAACGAGAGACTCTAGAACTATTCCAAGATAAACCAAGATAGGGGACGGCACCCTGACCCCACAGTCAGAGAAGAAAGGGGCTGAAACGAGAGGAAATGGCTGAAATTTTCCTTTTTTGGTTTTTGAGACCCATTTTTTGATGCTGTCAGTGTGTCCTGAGAGCTCATGGCTGGCACTCTTTTCCATACTGGACAAATACCTATTTTTAAAACTTCTGTATACGCTAAGTGTCTAATAAACATTTGCCAAAAAAAAATTAATGGGATGACGACCGTGTTATCTCCAGATTTAAAGCTGGAAGAGATCTTCTTGTCCAGGGTGGAGAGCCCACAGCCTCAAGGCCACATGTGGCCCTCTAGGTCCTCAAGTGTGGCCCTCTGACTGAATCCAAACTTCACAGAACAAATCCACTTCATAAAAGAATTTGTTTTGTAAAACTTGGATTCAGTCCAAAGCCCACACCCGAGGACCTAGAGGGCCACAGTTTCCCTACCCCCTCTCTCGTCCAACTTCTCAGTTTTATGGATAAGAAGAGCAAGAAGGCTCACCAAAGTGAGACAAAAGCTCCAAAGAAAAAACCCCTGGCTTTCTGACCTCCTTACGTGCCCTCAACAGGCCAGCAGGGTCAGAACGGGGGGAGGGAACACGGGGCAAAGAAAGGCAGCTTCCGAGCGGGGAGGGGCGCTGGGCATTACCGATGAGGGTTACGGGGACTCCGTACTCCAGCGCAGAGATGGCCGTCCACTTGCCAGTGCCCTTCTGGCCGGCGCTATCCCTGATCTTCGGCAGGAGGTGCTGGCCATCACTGTCTTGGAACTTAAGGATATTGGCTGTGATTTCAATCAGGAAGGAGTCCAGCTCTGTCTTATTCCATTCTTCAAATACCTAAGTACAGGATGTGGGAAGAAATGAAATGATCAAATCAAGGATGAGATCGGCCATGTTCTGTGGCCACTCTTCCTGACCACGAGCCAGATACCCCATCCTCTAAAAATCCTGCTGGACCCACCGACAGCAGCCTCTATTGCATTCTCAGCCACAATAGCCAGAGGAAAAGGCATGAGAGAGCTGGTGAGGATGAGGAAGACAAATCTGGAAAAAAATTTTATAAGATGACGCAAAGTGAGAAAAAGATAAACTGAAGAACGGATTAAAAGGTGACCACACACACACCAAGGCAACAGATGGAATACTAGACTTGGGAGTCAGGCAGACCTGAGTTCAAATCCTACCTTGGACATCTCTAAGCTGTGTGACCCTGGATGGGTCACCTGACCTTTCCAAGCCTTGATATCTATGGTGGTACCCTCACAGAACTGTTCTAGGGATCGAATGAGATCTTTGTGAGATGCTCTGCAAACCATAAAGTGCCACAGGAATGTTTTTAATTAAGTGTTCACTGTGCGCTACGCATCTAGAACATAAAGAAAGGCAGAAACGGCCCCTGCCCTCAGGGAGCTCACATTCCAGGGGCAGATCAGGACATATGACATAAACACAGAGTGGATGGAAGGTGAGGACAGCCTTGGTAAAAGCAGGGAGAGAGCCAGCCGAGGAGTCAGGAAGAGTTGGGTTCAAATTCTACCTCTGACCCATTCTAGCTGGGTGACCCTGGGTAAGTCCTTTGACCTCTTAGTGTCCCAAGCAACTTCTAAAGACGCTAAATTACAACAAGTTTCCAATTTTGGGCAGCAGAGAGGGTTTCACCCCAGGAAACACCCAAGTGGCATCACAGACCAAACTAAATATAAGAGGAGAGAATGAGAACAAATGGACAAAAAAGGCTGATGGGACTTTCCCAAGCCCTTATCAGAGAGAAACTTCTCATGACAAAGACAAAGAATTAACCAAAAAGCCTTGAGAGAGTGACACGGCTGGCATTCTGACTTAATATTCCCTTGCCTCTCCGCCACGATGGAGGCATGTAAAACATTTGGTGTTTTTAAAACAAAAGCATGAAAAAGCACTTACTATGTACAGAGCACTGTGCTAAATGCTGGTGAGACAAAGAGAAAAGACAAAGATAAAGCTCCTGCTTTCAAGGAGCTCATGTTCTGATGTGGAAGAAAATATACCAAAAAGAGAGGGAGAAAGAAGAAATGAGCAGAAATGTATTTGAATGAACCACTGTCCTCCTGTCCAGCTTCCTGCTGTGTGGTAGCAAGCACAGGGCCAGGCTCCAGACTCACCTTGGCCATCTCATCATGCTCCATGCCCAGGACATCTTTCATCAGGTGGTAGGCTTCACAGATCAGCTGCATGTCTCCGTATTCTATCCCATTGTGCACCATCTTGACAAAGTGACCAGCACCCTCATCTCCCACCTATCAGAGAGAGCAAGTGCCACAAGGCCGTGAGAGGCTGCTGGAGCACCAGAGCCTACACTGGTCTACTTCCAGCAGGGAGTTCCACTGAAGGCAGGCTCAGAGGCCCTCGCCCCTTAAGGACAGACTTGAGGCAAATACAGATAGCAGGGGACACCTAGGCTCTTGCTGAATCCACTTCCCTGTTCTTAGCCAGCTAAGTTTCATGCTAAAAGACGACCAGAGAAAAGGACCTACTGCACAAAAATATTTATGACAGCTCTTTCTGTGGTGCTAAGAATTGGAAATCGAAGGGATTCCCATTAACTGGAGAGTGGCTGAATGAGATGTGGTATATGACTGTAATGGAATATTATTGGGCCAAAAGAAATGACAAGCAGGATGATTTCAAAAAAACTTGGGAAGTCTTATATGAACTGATGCAAAGTGAAGTCAGCAGAACCAGGAGAACATTACACACAGTAGCAGCAATACTGCACGACGATCAGCTGTGAACGATTTAGCCATTCTCAGCAATACAAGACAATCCCAAAGGATTAATGATGAAGCATACTATCCACCTCCAGACAAAGAACTGATACTGTTTGAATATAAGCCGAAACATGCTATTTTTCGCTTTCTTTCTTTTATTTGAGTCTTCTTGTACAAAATGACTAGTATGGAAATGATTTACATGATTGCATAAGTATAACCTACATCTGCTTACTGTCTCAGGGAGGCAGGGTTAGAATTTGAAACTCAAAACTTTAAAAAAAAAAGTTAAAAATTGTTTTAACATGTAATTGGGGGGAAATTATACACACACGCACACAGAAATATAAAATACAAGAAGGCCACAGAGCTTCTGTCTAGTGTAGTATTAGTCCTTTTTGACTTAGTGACATAGATTCAAGGGTCCCTCCCTCAGGGCAGGTCTTTAAAATTCAGGATCGCCGAGACCTCCCTGGATCTCCCTTTGCACCACTTTTAGAATCTGTATCCCCAGGTGACACAAAAGGCCCCATTTTCCTGGGGTTGTTCCCTCTTGGATAAGAACTTCCTCACAAGTCAAAGCTGGAGATGTTTCTTCTATTTAACACCAGCTAATATGGTCAGAGACAGCATACTACAGCAGGAAGAGCTCTGGGTCAGAGGCACCAGGGTTCAAATCCTGGTTCTGCCACTCAATCCTTGTGTGACTTTAGGCAAGTCCTGTAAGATCATACCGAGTGGGAAGAGACCTGAGGGGTCATTTAGTTTAATGCCGCCCCCTTCCCAACACCCCTTTTTACAGATGGGGAATGTGGGGCCCAGAGAGGCTAATGGACTTGCATGACACCACAAGGTTTCCATGACAACCTTCAGGGTGGAGGGATGACTGAGACTTCTTACTGGAGGACCGGGCGACCTCACAGCCTCTCCCCAGTTGTTCCCTTACCACAAGGGTTGCTCATAGGTCAAACAGAAAGGGCAGATTTACTGCAGGGGATGAGACGATGAGGTCCCCAGGAGTGGCCAGGCCCAGCCCAGCAAGGCCGCCCTCCAACCCTGCTCAGGCACACACTCGGATACCTGTTTTATCTCTAACAATGGCAGCTCTCTGGGACAGAGCCAGCCTTGTCTCCTAGAACATGGAGTGGGACCTCGGGGGGAAGTGAAGACACATTTTAACAGCAACACAGGGAAGCACTAAAGTGCAGAGGAAAGGACACTTAACTTGGAAGCTGAGGATCTGGGTTCATATCTTGGCTCTGCCATTTATTACCCGTGAGACTTTGGAAAAGTCATCTGAGTCTGCCAGGCCTCAGTCTCCTCATCTGTCTGAGATCTAGATCCTGTAACTGTGGTGGAGGGGGAAACCTGGAACCAGAATCCAGGCACTCGGTTTCAAAGGCTGGCTGTGCCGATTACAAGTGGTGCAACCCATGGGAAGTCAATGAAGTTCCCCTGCAGGCCTCAGCTTCTTCATCTGAAGACTGTCTCTGAGGACCCCTCCAGCTCAAGATCAATGGTCAGATGAAGGGCTGGAGCCACCTGTCTCATCTGACAGTGGACCAGAGAAAGTCCAGGGTCCAGGAGCTCCAGACTTCTCCATCTCCACCCAAAACCCCACGAACAGTCTAGATCACAGCAGCCTGTTTAATCTACTTCTTTCTCCTGAGATTACCCATAGGTGGGCTCTTCCCCCAGCAGTTAACAAGAACCTGTGAAGTGTGATGCCACAAAGCTGACCCCTGGGATGCTGAGAACCTGCCATGCTATAGGAATGCCTCAGGCAGCTCCGCTGTCCTCTCTGGCTGTGCTCACCCCCACCCCCCAGCTCTAAGGGTACAATGCAGTACTTGCCCAATCACAGCAGGGCTCCCCAGTGCCCACTTTGGCAGCGATGCTTTGGAAGATTGTCTTGATGTGGGGCCTGTGGAAAGGAACACAGTCAGCTCAGCAGCCAGGAAGAGAGGGGCCAAGGTTTCCACCCAACACTCCATGGTCCCAAGAATAAACTCTCTTTCTTCTAATGGGGAGAGAAGATCCCCCATTTAGGGAACAATTTCCAGGATAATCCCTGAACCAAAAGGTACTCTCCAGCTACTCGATAAGCAGGCCCCTCTTTCAGCTCTGAGGGGACCACTGAGACAGAAGTCAAACAGAGGGTGGGGCAGAGTAGGGCAGAGAATCACTTTAAAAGCCAAAGGTAAGAATCCTGGGTGGAAACAACCATTCCAAAGAATCAGCACTTCCCAATGGGAGAAGCCCCTCACTTCTCTTTCTTCCTCCAAAGATATTCCTATGTACTTCTCCCCTCCCCCCCCATCTACTTATCTCTGGCTGTATTATCCCTCCCAATAGAATGTAAGCTCCTTGAGAGTGCAAACAGCTTCGTTTTTGTCTCTGCAGCCCCAGGGCCTGACAGAGAGCTCTGTTTGTGACACTGTGGCATCTGAATATGAGGGACTGTGGGTACCCTAACACAGGAAGGCTAGCAAGAATTCAGAAAAGATACATGAACTGATACAAAGTGAAACAAGCAGGGCCAGCAAAACCACACACAAGATGGCTACAACAATGTAAACACTGAGGACAACGTGGTGGGGAAAGGGGGAAGGAGGGTCTCCGGACTGGGAATGTCACATAGACTGTTATACTCGCTTCCTGGGCAGGAGACTGATGTATTAGGAAACAAAGGTGATGTAAAAATAAGACAATAAAACATTCTAAAAACGTGTTCAACTGAACCGATCATTAAAAGAACGAGCTAAGACTCAGACTGGCAAAAGAATTAAGCAGTCTCTTTGTCAACCAGTCAGCTCTCTTCTCACTTGGCTTTCGGGAGTGCAAAAAGTAATTCTAAATCCCTTTGGTTGGTAATTTACAGTTCAAAGCCAGCTTGGGGAGAGGGGGGCGCCCAACTCACATCTTTCAAAACTGAGAAGGTATTTTAATCTGAGCAAGAACTCTGCAACAAAAATCTGGGAAAGGGCAAGGGCTGACCCAACTACATAAAAAATCCAGGTAGGGTGTGTGCATATAAATAACACATTTTTACTGATATCTTCTTTTTTTACATCACCTATTTTCTTTCTTTCTTTTTTTTTTTTTGTCAAAGACCAGGTTTATTAGAACATTGACGGGAGGTGGGGGAGATTTAAAGAATCTGCCATACTGGCCAGAATCTAAAGGAATCTAAGCATTCGTATCACTGATGCAAGTGGGCCAGATCTCAAGAATCTGAGCCTACATCACCTATTTTCTTCCCGAGTCCTTCTCTCTCCCAGGAAACCATTCCTTACTACCACTTTTCTTTTGAGGGGAGGACAGATACACTGTTACTGAGGAGAAAAGTGTACATGGCTACCCATTTATCCTTCTCTCTCCAGCTGGGCAAAATAGTCACCATTTTGAGACAACTGTATTTTAAATTTTTTAATCTGCCAGCTGTTAACAGTGGGCTACTTGGGGGACTCCATCTGACCATTCCTGGGGAAGGCCCAGTGATCATCAATTTAAGTCAACAAATATTTATTAAGCTCCTACTCTGTGCAAAGCACACAGCTGGGTACTAAAGGTGCAAAGACACAAATGAAAACGGAGGGCCCTGCCCTCCAAGGGCAAGAATTAACAAGTCTGGCAGGAGATGAGCAGTAAACATGTAAGGTGAAAGGTTAACACTGCTCCACCTCTGAACTTTCCCATAAGCCTTTGCTGCAGTTTCCCCAAAGCACTGTCTGAGAAAAGTGAGGGGCCATGAGCAGGGCAGGCGGCTGTATGTGCATCTCCCTCCCCACTCCCCTAGGCCCAACAGCTTTGAAAAGCAGGTCCCGTCTCTTCAGACTGCAGCATCCTGAAGGGCTTCCTTGTTTAGACGAAAGCCAAACCAGGTCAATGGGAGAACAAGCTGCCCCAAAGTCACCCTTGACCCTGGGACAGTTAGAGAGGAACCTGCTGAGCCCTGATAATATGCATATTCCACTCTGTAACACTGGGAAGCAGACTCTGAGAGGACGAGGCTACCTGTCTCTATCTCCCTCACCAAGGATCCTTCCTTTGCTATTTTCACCTCTCTTCTGTCTCTGTCTTCCTGTATCTGGCTGTCTTTTTTCTTTGTTTGTTTTGTTTTCTTGCTTTTTGATGAGGCAACTGGGGTGAAGTGACTTGTCCAGGGTCACACAGCTAGTAAATATTAAGTGTCTGAGGCTGGATTTGAACTCAGGTCCTCCTCACTCCAAGGCCAGAGCTCTATTCACCTGGTTGTCTCTTTTTTCTGGAGTCTTAGTGGAGATGTTTTCCCTCAGACTAATTTTTATATATAATTAAATCATTTGCAATTTTCAGTTTAGACTCCCCCCTTCCCCTTCTCCCTAAGCTCTATGACACTCCTATTTTCTTTCTTAGACACATCCCCGATTCTCCCCACCAGCTTTTTCAAAGGTTTCCCCTGCTTTCCCATCTGTCCAGAACTATTCATTCATTCATTCATTCAGCCAATGCATAGTAAGAACCTGTGATGTGCAAGGACTGTGCTGGGTACAGAGGAGGTTATGCGGTGAGTCAAAAACAGGAATGAGCACCAGCCTCTCTGCCTTTATGCATCTCACAGTCCAGGGAGATAAGGCAGGACAGCGGCAAGCTGGAGCTGGGGGCGAGCAGTCAGGCGCATCAAAAGCAGGGATTCCAAGGCTGCTCGTTGGAAGTGAGCGTCTCTAACCCTGGGTTTGCAGTGACACACAGCTCTTGAACACAGGGAAGGGCCAGGTAGGCCTTCTCACCAGAGGAGCAGCAAGGCTGTGTGGGCTGGGTATTCCCGGGTACTGAGATTCCTCTGTCCTACAAGGATCCCTACTTCTTTCAACACCAATCTGCCACATCTCTTCCTTTTGGCAATAAAATGTGATGTGACAAGTCCCTCCCAATTTCTCCCAGTGTATCTGCATCAGACACAAGGCTGGTCCAGTTGAAAAAGCAAGGGCCACTCCCCAGGCCCGTCATGGGCTGCACTCAAGGGTCCAGGGCGGGCCGTATCTTTTGAGTCTGTTTTTGGGCTTAGCCTCATTTAAGGAGGGAACGTGAATCTGACAGACAAGGGACATCAAAGGGGTGAACAGCTGTCTGAAGAGTGTCTCCAACATCCTTAACCCTGCCTGCTCAGTACACACCTCCACAACTGCTCCAGAAGTTCAGACTTCTCCAGAGCTGGTGAGGATTGTTTAAGCACCTACTATGTGTTCGAGGTCACTAGACTTACCAGGCTTCTTTGTTCCCTCCAGGCATGAGAGACGGCCCGTATCGGGCCCCATCCTCGCCACCACTCACACCACTTCCCACAAACAAGATGCCTTTGGCCTTGAGGTCTTGGCACCGCCTCTGAAAGGGAGAGAAAAGGAGGTCCATTACACATCAAATAAAATCCTCTTTCTACACAAGGATGGGGTAAGGGGCAGGGAAAAGAAGGGGAGAAGGATTCTTCCCCCTCTCCCCCCTAGCTCTATCATAAAGGGATCTGAGAGCCATAAAATGACCTGGAAGTACAAAAAGAGAAGGCAAAGACAGGTTTTGGAATGGGCCCATGGGGGACGGAGGTTCAATGAAAGAGGCTACTTCATACCTAATGTCACCTATCAATGTTACTGGGGAGGAGCCTTGCTCCTCAGGACTCTCCAGTAAAATAAATCCAATTTTCCAAAGAGATGAAGCTAGTGGAGAGGCCTTAGAATCAGCATCACAAGAGAGTAAATCAAGCCCCCTCCTCTCAGCAGGGAGAGGAAGGACCCGGGGCAAGTGAAGCTGCTACTTCATTGGATGGAGCCTGGATATCAGGTTTTTCCACTTAACTATTTTTCTGTTACAAGAGCAGGTTCAAATGGAGAGGGTTACGTGGGGGAGTGACTGGGGTGCACAAATAAAATGCATCAATAAACTTATATAGTATTATAAAGTAAATTGTTACTGCAAAGACACAAAGACATTAATACACAAAAGTCAAACCAGGAACCTCCAAAACCAGTTCTGAAATCCAAACGCCACTCCAAGAGGAGGTCAGTGCTGGCACCCAGGGCTGCTGTGGACAAGTCCCAAGTCATCTTGGGTCAGAGAAGGGGCGCTCCTTCCCACACAACAAATCGGAATGTGAACACAGTCAATGACAGCCCCTGAACGTCCTCAGTCCTGCTCTCAAACTTTGGGCTTTGGACAGAAGGAGAGAAAAGTACTTACTGTGGTATCTCTATACTCTGAATTCCCCCCATCGATAATAATGTCACCAGCTTCCAACAAGGGCACCTGTGACAAGACAGAAGTGTTAAGAGGAACACCTGCCTCCCCAAGAAAACCCAGTGCAGTCCCAGGAATGTAACCAGCTGAGTAAGGCTGGACCAGAAACTGTCCCAGGAATGCCCAGATTCCCAAGACCATACTTGGCCTGAGATGCTCAAGGCAGCTTATTTCAAAGTCGAAACAAGAGAACCCAATCAGAACCATGTGCCTTTTAGGGGTGAGAAAAAAGAAACACAAGTTGGTTTCTAAAACTTACAAAGAATATCCACTGAACCCCTAAAATCTATTCACAGACCCCAGCTTAAGAATTCCTGGTCTAGAATCTCTGGACTCCCAGACCAGCATCTTTCCACATGACTATTCTGCCTCATTAATTATCTCAAACAGAGGCATCAAACACGTGAGCTGCATGAGGCCCTGGACACTCCTGGCGATGGCCTGAACCAGATTAAAATGCAAGTGAGAAATTTAACAAAATAAATAAAAATACAACAAAACAAGGGTAATATTACATTTTAAAATGAAGTTGCTATGAGGCCTGCAGGGATTCTTACACACAGTGTCATAGCTCCTATTTCTATGAGTTTAACATCTGGATTAACACCATAAGGAGGTAGGAGAAAGCTGAGACTAGGATACCTGCTATGTGTAAAACATTGTGGTAGGCACTCAGGGAGATACCAACTGGATCTTGCAGCTTAGTAGGCAGGGAAGAAGCCTGCACAGATAACTACATGGCACAGTATCACCAACCAAGTACATTACACTAGAGAGGGTCAAAACAAAGGTCCCAGGGCAGAATTCTGGCCATTCATTGGCAAGGAGGGCCAGAAAGGGTCGGGGAGGCCTGGAGAAAGCTGTGGGATCTGAACAGATGCTCCTTCTGCCCCCAATCTCAGGTAGAAACCGACACAGCCTTTTTTAAAAAAAATAGGTCCGTAAGACCCCTTGGTTCTCTCCCACTCATGGCATGATTGGGCAGAAGGAAGGCAAAAGAGGCCTGCCTCTTTCACTGATGTTTACTGAGGATGTCTCAGAACGTTGGATGTGGAAGGAGATGCCTGAGGCACCAAAATGGACCCTAACCCTCCTGCTGCCTGCAGCTTTCTGGTAGGGGGCATTCACTCCCTGAGCCCCCTGCTAACCAGCACCATCCCCTCTGGACCCCGAGGGTCAGGAAGGGAAGAAACTGAGGTTAGCTGTGGCACACAGGCTCTAGGCTGGTAGGAGGGAATCGTGGCAAGAGTAAACTCCAACTCCCAGAGTCTCTGAAGAGGCTTGGGGCAGAAGGGCCCCACCCACCACCAACCTCCTCCAGGGCACCTGCCCCTTCTCCAAAATTACTTAACTCTCTCCTTCATTTCCAGCCACGTCAACCAAACCGCCGTGGTCCCTCACTGATATCTCTGGCAGCCTGGAAGACACAGGTTCCTCACAAAGGAGCCAAATAATACAAAATGTCCTTTTCCCTGCTCCCTTCCCAAGGAAGAAGAGCAGACTGACTGGTATAACTGAAGGCCCAGGTGTCCAGCAAACAGCTCACCCCGAAAAGGTTCACAGCCTGCTTAGTCTCAACTGCCCAGCCCAATACCACTCGGTCCATCTAAGAAGAGTCTCGGACACGTGGGGCCCCTCCCAGCGGCCCCCTGGGCCTCCCTGCCTGGGGCTGTAGAACCTTTCCAGCCTCATATAGCAACTCCACATACTTGGGACCCAACCTGAGAAAGCCCTGCCCAGGCACACAACGTATTCCCGTGCTAGGAGAACTAGATGCTCGAGCTCAAGGCTGAACTCTAGGCAGGCCCCTCCCAGAGTGTCAGCTGCCTAAGGACAAGCATGTCTCCTCTGCCTCTGTCCCTCTGCCCTCCCAAGCCTGCCCGGCACAGCGTCTGCATCTCAGCCAGGCCGAGGGGTCTGAGGGCCTGCAGTCCCTAAGCCACGGGCAGCCCAACCCCTCTGTGAACTAGAGGCCAGCAGTGGACTTCAGAACAGCCTGAGGAAGAAAAGCAAACCTTCAACGTGTCCAAAGCCGAAATGTGACCTTTCTCTCTAAACCCTTCCTCAGACTTCACTATTTCTGTGTGGATCAGGGATCTTGTCTTCAGTTTGTTTTTCAGTATAACAGCTGTCTTTCAATAATCTTCTGTACTTTATTTTACACGCTTTAAAACATTCTTCTGAGAAGGGGCCCATAGGTTCTACTAGACTTCTGGTGGTGCCCAAAGAAAGGCAAAGGTCTGCAGTGCCAAGTTTGTCTCGCCCCAAGAAGTCCCTCCTGGCTGTGGCTCTGCCCCCAACTTCCTGTCCTTTAGCACCTAGCTCAAGTATAACACCTGTAAAACCCTTGGCCAACCCAAGGACTACTAGCTATTCCTATTTCTCTCTCTCTTCTCAAAAACTCTTACTCGTTAAGAATTTCCCAGGTTGTGGGGCAGCTAGGTGGCACAGTGGATAGAGCACTGGCTCTGTAGTCAGGAGGACCCGAGTTCAAATCTGTCTTCAGACACATAACACTTACTAGCTGTGTGACTTAGGGAAGTCACTTAACCCCAATTGCCTCACACATACATACACACACACGCACACACACACACACACACCCAAAAAAAGGAAAAAAAAAATTAAAAAGAGTTTCCCAGGTTGTTTCCCCTCTAAAATGTCCTGCTTGCTTAAGTATCGCCACTCCATCATTGGTGGGGCTGGAAGGGAAGTCTCAGCCACTTTGTCCAGCCTCCCGCATTTATACTCGAGGCAATGGAAGCCCCAGAGAAGGCAGAGAACAGTGGGGAAAGGACCTGGGTTCAAATCCAAGCTCTCTGACTTCCTACCTGTGTGTCCTTGGGCAAGTTGCTACTTTACCCATCTAAGCCTCAGCTTTTTCATCTGTACCATGGAGGGGTTAGACGAGATGACCCAACATGACCTTCACGCCCCTGCCAGCTCTGGGTCTGTGATCCTAAGGGAAGTGACCTGCTCCAAGTTATACGGATTTCAACAACCAGTCCTCTGACTCCAAATCCAGGGTGCCCTCTATAATAAAAGCTCTCTGAGAGCAGGATCTGCTTTCTTTTTGGTCCTCAAATACCCAGAATTCAACACAATACCGGGCCATACAGGAGCACTTAGGAATGCTTTCTGAAGAGCTTTCATTCACTTCACCAAGCACTTTACATATGTTAACTCACTTGATCCTTACAAGAAACCTGGAAAGTAGGTACAATGATTAATCCCATTTTACAGAGGAGGAAACTGAGGCTGACAGACATTAAATGACTTGCCCAAGGGCACACAGCTGGTAAGTGCCTGACAGTAAAATTCAGGGGTTAGTATTGCTTCCTCTGGAGGGCTCTTGTTATTAATAATTAGGTAATTATTTGAGAATTACTGACTTAAGGGAATACTGAGAACCAGATTTTAAGCTCTGGTGCTAAGTCTAAGAGGTAAGGTAGGCAATAGACTCATTTCATAAAGAGATAATAACCACATCTGTTAAACCCTTTGAGTCTGTCACAGATAAAGCTCACACAAAAGAGCCCTCGTGCTACTATTATTACAGTTAATGAGGGGTTTCCCAGAGTCACGCAAATTGCACACTGAGGGAATTCCTACCTCTAGCGTGGGGGTGGCCTAAATGGAGACAGCTCAGGTCACGAAGGCCCAGTCCACTTCTGGTCTGTTTAAGAATCTAAGCAAGCTAATTCGGAGAAGAGGCTGGGGGTCTGGGAAGAAGAGCAGAAAACTAGGGGAGGGGAGATGGCATCAGCTCGGCGCCAGGTGGGACGAGACCAAGCCTCACCAGTTTCACAATGAAATCATCGACGGCCTGGCCAGCCTTGACAAGCAGGATGATCCGACGGGGTTTCTTCAGCTTGGAGACCATTTCCTCCAGGGAGTGAGCTCCAACCACCTTAGTCCCCTTTGCCTCGTTAGCCAAGAAATCATCAACTTTGGAGACCGTTCTATTGAAAGCACACACCTGCAAGGGAAGAAGTCTGACTTGGGGTCTGCCATGAATTAGGACTCAGAATCTAAGGTGGGTACAAACCAGCTCCAAAGCAGAGGATCTCAGATTCACACAGAGTTACAGTTCCAAGGCCACTTAGTCTAGGATTCAGTTAACTCTAGCACCCTGGCTTAGATAAAACTCATTTCCTATTTGGCTACTGGGGAATCAGTTTTTTCAGAGCCCATCAGGCCCCCTCAGGCCTCTCCAGAGCCAGAGCACTGCCCTGCCTAATCTGTAGCTCCAATATTCTCCTAGGCCTCAGATTTTAGTGCGCAAGCTTTGAAAGACTTATTCCACAAAACTACAATTCTTCATGATCTCCAAAGAGCTGGTCCTCCTACAAAGGGGCACTGGTAGTTTTCTTTCTTTTATGAAAATGTTTCAAGGAATAACCTGGAATGTAGTGAAGGATAACATCTGCTATATCCAAGTGTCTGGTCACCCTCTGCTCCCCCTGCTCATGATCACACCAAATAGCCACCTTAGAATAAAAAAGCATCATTTCCTCTACTCACCACAAAGCCATGGTCATTCATGTTTAAAATCAGGTTCTGGCCCATGACAGCCAGTCCAATCAGTGCAATATCAGCTCTGGAAAAGGGCAAAGAGAAGTGTGTCAAAAGACTCTCAGTCACTAGAGACAACCCACTCCCAAATGAGGAACCCTCACTTTCCGGACCCTGCTAGTGAGGTTGCCCCAATGGACCCAGCATGTAATTGATATGACTGTTCCCTCTAATGGTGCAGAAGGAAATTCAGCCATCTCTGCCCATCCTGTATGCCTCTTGTCCACCTCCACCCCTAAGTTTTCCTAGTTCATGGTCAATTTCCTACATTTACCATTCATAACTGGGAATAATTAATAATTAAGTCTTTTTTAGGGGAAGTCTTTCCTGTATCCACTGCCACCCCAACAGAGAATCTCACTGTAGCCAATTAACCTAAAAAAAGATTGCCCCAATCTAATAAGTATGTAAGTTATCTGTTGTAGAAAATCTGGGCAGGTCTTCTGGTTTTGTTCCTTGTTTTTTTTTTTAATTTTATCTTCCTTGCTTTGTCTCCCCAAAGAACCAGGGCAAGGAGCAGATTGTTATCTAGCCCAGGGCTCTGACATCTGCAGGCTTAGTCTGTGTCTGATGAGGAGCAGGGAGTGCACCGCCCTCGGAGTGCAAGCCCTGGCTCCAAAACTTACTAGCTGAGTGACCTGGTCAAGTTTCTTAATCATAGCCTCAGTTTCCTTTGCTGTAAAATGGTGCCAACAAGTTCCAGTGATGTGGTGCTTTTAAGAATTATAAAGTGTTTTCCTTGAAACAACCCGGTGAGGCAGGTACTACAGGTATTCTTAGCACCCCCATTTTAAAGATGAGGAATCTGGGGCTCAGGCAAGCTAAGTGACTGACTGCCCCAAGGTCACCCATTTGGGGAGTGTCAGGTCCAGACTTCAAATCCTGGGCTCCAGACTCCGAGTCCCCGGGGGGATTCTAACCCACTAGGGCTGTACAACTGTCCACCATCAATTCTTAAAGGGCTGCCCAGAAAGGTAAGGTGCTGCTTATTATTACTCCCTAGCTGTGTAGGGCGGGTGGACCTCAACGTTCTCATCTGTAGAATAGCCAGGTTAGGACTAAAATCTTGATCTCCAAGGTCCCTTCCCCGTCTAAGATTCTCGAACAGCCCCCTCTCCCCCGCCCAGGATCCCCCAGTCCCCTGGGGTGGGGTCCTCCTTCCAGCCTGGGGAGACAAGGAAAAGAGGGAAGAGAAAAGGAGGCAGAGAAAGAAAGAGGAAGGGAAGAGAAAAAAAGGGGAGGGGAAGAAAGGTGGAGGAGCAGAAAGTAAAGGGAGGGGGTGGACAGGAAAGGGGGGAGCGGGGTTCTCCATCCCCCTGACCTCAGGGCCCCAGCCCCCCAGGAGGACGGGCACGTGGGGAGCTGTCCCCCCCCCCAGGAGAAAGAGCAGGGGCTCAGGCTGCGGAGGGGGCGGGGGCTGGGCGTGGCCTTGGAGCGGCGGGGGTCCCCGGGTCTGGCTCGGCTCGGGCACTCACTGGGCCATGGCGGTGGACAGGACGGGCCGGGCAGACGGGGCAAGGCAGCACTGGAGCGGCGACAGGACGAACGCTCCCGCTCGAGGTGCAGCCTCGTAATCAGCCAGCCTAGGCTCCGCTCGTTCTCTTTGGCGACTGCGCCCCCCCGCCCCCTCCCGAGCTGGCCAATCAGAGAGCAGGAGGTCGGGGAAGGTGCTGCCGCACCATTGGTTCGCCCGGGCGCCTGCTAGACCGTCTGAGATCGAGTGGCCCCGCCCCCGGGGCTGAGCCGGATCAGTGGAAAGTCGATGTTATCGATCGTTTAAAGAGACCCTCGGGCGTGGGAGCTCAGTCAGTTCCCTTTGGCTCCGGGGCAGCGCTCTTTCCTTCCTGGGATCCTAGGCGGTCCGGGTTGTGGGTTGTCTGGGCTGGAAGCCAGTTTTCCTGCCCAGGGTTGATCCCTTGAAAGCCCTGGAGTTTACACTGAGAATAATCCAGTGCCGTGGACAGGGAGCGGGGGTTGCCCCACTTAGTCCGTGGGTGAACTCTGGTGAGTCACCCAAGCTCCCGGGTCGTGCCACCTGTCTGCCAAGGTGCTTCTCCTCACGGGGATGTGATAGGCATGAGCTAGACAAAGGCTGCAGAGCAGGAGGGCCCAAAGCACCCTATAAATACCGGGTGTTACTCGGAGCCAGCGCCGGACGACTGATAGCACCACCCAGGAGGAGGGATTCCTCATGCCTGGGCTGCCCGGCACTTTGCTGGTTTGCCGCCTTCTTTTACTTCCCAGCTCCTCAGCACTTGCCTCCTTTCCACCTCTTCTGCACTTCTATTTCCTCAGCAAAAGCCTTCCTGAGCAGTAAATTAAATTGTGGTTAAAAAAAACTTTTTAAAAAATGCAACAAATAGAACTAAGGGAATCCTATGAATCAACAAGCACTTATTACGCACCAGCTGTGTGACAGGCACCCGGCTGAGCCCTGGAAACACAATGAAAAGCAAAAGGCAGTCCCTGCTCTCAAGGAGCTCACGGTCTAATGGAGAGACAAGAGAACAGCTACTCACAAACAAGACACAGACAGGATAAACTGGCAGCCAGGAGGCAGAGATGAGGAGGGGAAAATGCCCAGAGGTGGGAGATGAAGTCTCCTTTGAGGAACAGGCAGGAGACCAGCATCCCAAGATGAAGAGTACTAGAGGGAGGTACAGCTAGGTGGCAAAGTGGATAGAACACCAGCCTTGGAGTCAGGAGGACCCGAGTTCAAATCTGCCCTCAACATATAACACTCCCTAGCTGTATGACCCTGGGCAAGTCACTTAACCCCAATTAAAAAAAGAGTGTGAAGGGCTATTAGTTTATCTTTTGGGTAACCCCCCATTTCTCAGTAGGGAATTTGCTACAGTACAGGTATACATACATACATACATACATTTAGCATTGTTTTTTCAGTAGGCTTTCCCAATATACTTATATATACTTCCTCATATACCACATGGGTTAATGGATAGAACACTGGCCCTGGAGTTGGGAAGACCCGAGTTTAAATGTGACCTCAGATATTCACTTACTGTGTGGCCCTGGTAAGTTACTTAACCTCTATTTGTCTAGGAGGTCACTAAGTGGCTCAGCAGATAGACTGCAGGGCCCAGAGTCAGGAAGACCTGAGTTCAAGAAACTTACTATGTGTGTGACACTGGACAAGTCACTTAACCTCTATTTGCCTTAAGAAGAGAAGGAAATGGCAAATCATTCCTGCATCTTTGCCAAGAACACTCCATGAACAGAATGGCATCACTGAGAGTCAGACATGACCGAACCACAACGTATACTATATGTTGTTTCCCCTCTTTTATGAATGACAGCTAGTGCCATTAAGGTCACTGTTGGTTGACCTACTTAGGTGCAGTGGAAGTGCCAAGGTTAGAACTGGCCCTCTTTCAAGGAAGTAGTATACTGTACTGGAAGGAGCATTGGTCTGGGAACCAAGAAACATCCTGGTTCTACCTTGGTGAGTCACGTCATCGGTCTAGGCTTCAATGTCCTCCTCTGTTAGTTAAATGAGAGATTTGCCTGTAGTTCGTCTATAAAGTTCCTTTGAGCTGTACAGGTCTGTAATTCTGAGTAGCTTTTGCAAGGTTATTGTGATTACAGGTAAACAGTTTGTAAAGTCAGTGCAGCTTGTAAGAAAGGATGTACTAAAGAAACAACAGAAACCATATCTAGCATTACACACACGGTTGTGAAATTAAATGGAGGAGGTTAAAGCATCTTCAGCCACTCAATGAGCAGTTCTTCTTAAAAGACATTAGAAAACCTCCAAGGGTTTTCTCTGCTTACAATTCAGCTTTAGTGCTCCAGCTACACCACAGGCTGGGCTGATCCAATACTGGAATTGTTGATGGCAGCAAATATTGTTATTTCTTTCTGCCCACCTCCCAACCCCTCATCATGGTTACTAGTTCCACCACCCACTCCTTTGGCCAAAAACTGCTAAAGAGGAAGAAAGAAATCCAGGTCATGGCAACCTGCCACAGACATCTTTTCAACATACCAATGTCTAAACAGAATTGGGGAACACTTCTTTAGAAGATATTTAGAAATGAGATAACATATAAAATGCTTTGCAGTTATTAAAGCATTGTAGAGGTCCTACCATTATTTTTCCTTGCTTGCAACACAGACACAGCATACAAAATGCCACTCGGGAATTTCTGGGGCAGAGTGTTTTTTAAATTCAATTTTATTTTCAGCTCTCAATTCTCTTCTTCCAGCTTTCCCTCTACCACCATTTGAGAAAGCAAGAAAAATAAAGCTTGTTATAAACATGTGTAGTCAAGCAAAACAAATTCCTGCATTAGACATGCCCAAATACACACACACATATCTGTATGCCCTACCTCTGTCTTTTTCTATATAAATACATATCCATATGTGGATATGTTTTTATATATATTTGTATATGTACATATATGCGTGTGTATGTGTGTGTGTGTGTGTGTGTGTGTGTGTGTGTGTGTGTGTGAGTATGCCTCAATCTGCACTCCAAGTCCATCACTTCTCTCTCAGGAGGTCGACAGCATGTTTCATCATGAGTCCTTTAAGACTGTGGCTGGTTGTTTATGTTGATCAGAATGCCCAAGTCTTTCAAAGACGTCTTTGCAATATTGTCATCATTCATTACATAAATTGTCCTTCTGGTTCTGCTCACTTCACTTTGCATCAGTTCATACAAGTCTTCTCAAGTTTCTCTGAAACCATCTCTTCATCATTTTTTACAGCACAATAACATTCCATCACGTTCATATACCATAACTTCCTTAGCCATTCTCCAACTGATAAGCATCCCCTCAGTTTCCAATACTTTCCCAGCATGAAAACAGCTACTACATTATGTTTGTGCTTAGGCATCCTTCTTTTCCTTTTCCTTTGATCTCTTTGGGGTATAGACCCAGTATCACTGGTTTAAAGCTATCCACACTTTAATAGATTTTTGGGCATAGTCCCAATCTACCCTGCCCTTTCCATTTTCCTTTTCTGTGCTGCCTTCCCCCATTAGATTGTAACACTTGGAAGGCAAGGACTATCTTTTCCTTATTTGTATCCTTAGTGCTTAACACAGTGTCTAGCACATAGTAGGAGCTTAATAAATTTGTATTCTATTGCATTACTTTCCCGAATGGTAGGATTAGCTCACAGTTCCACTGAGAGTGAATTAATGTATTTTTTTCTGACTGCTTCCTTCAACATTTGTCATTTTCCTTTTGTCCCCTTTGTTGGTCAATAGGTATAAGGTGGTACCTAAGACTGTTTTAATTTGCATTTCTCTAACTGTTAGTGATTTGGAGCATTTTAAAAAATATTGCTATGGATAATAAGGTATCTTTAAAAATATCCCACATTCCTCTTCCTTGTAGGAATCCCTAGGTCCAATTCCTAATCTACCAGCCCCAGTAGGACATTGTACTGGACAGCTGCCCTTTACCTCCGCCTCTGAGTTTCTTTGGTTTCCTTCAAGATTCAGCTCAAATCCTCCCTTCTATAGGAGGTCTTTCCTGGTCCATTCAGCTATTGTGCCTTCCCTTCTGAGATTACCTCCCACCCACTCTGTGTATATCTTATACATACCTAATTATTTATGTGATATCTCCCTTAATAGAATGTAAACTCCTTGAGGGCAGAGACTGTTTTTTTTTTTATCTTTGTATTCCTAGTGAACAATAAATGCTTAAATGGCTGAGAACACAGATGGATTGGTAACCACAGACCTTGATAAAGATATCAGATTAGCAAGTGGTAGGTTAGAGTTTTTTGTATCCCTGCTTCTCTATTTACAATTAAGACCCCTTACCCCCATACCCTCCCCAGCCAGCCCCAGAGGAGAGCCATGTGGGTACCTCACAAAGCACTGTGAACAAGGAAAGCCAATAATGGCCTCCTCCAAGTTTTTATCTGGTATCTGAACTTTCAAGTCAAATATTGATTTCCTCTATTGTTACCACATTGCAGATTGGTGGGAGGGGAATCAAGCTGCCTGGGGGCTGGTGGAGAAGAGAACCTTAGATCCAGGCTAAGGGTACAGGAAAGCCCCCGATGCTCTTTAGAAGACAGCAATGCAAAAAACCAAAACAAACAAACAAACAAAAAAACCCAACTCCCATTCCTAAAATGAGTACTTGCAGGTGCCAGCCTTCTTGTATGTAATTCCAATCCTTGCTCTTGGCCAAATCAGTGAAACTCAGTATTCTTATGATGAGGTCTAGAGAATTAGGGGTGCTGGGACCCCAAAATCATGACATGTGGGTCCTGCCTGAATGAATTCGATCCTAGCCTTCTTTCAGCCAAAGACAAGGCTTATTAAAGATCTGCCATATTGGCCAGACTCTTAAGGAATCTGAGCATTTGTGAGCTAGTGGCTAGGTTCTTAAGGAATCTGAGCCCCTTAATGGAGACAAGATGGAACTTATGTAGAGAAAGACTATGGGAGGGATCTAGGAATGGCCAAGTAGTGGGGGGAGGAGGGGGGCCAGGGACCTGGAGCACATGGCCAAAGGAGAATGGAGCCTAGATAGGATTGTGGGATAGGGAAGCATAGGGAAGTGGGGGGGAGGGGGCATAAGAAAGTAAGACAAGGGAGGGCTGGGCT